CCTCTACACTACGATCAAACAACAAACGAACGCGTATACACTAATCAGCAAAAACATGATTTTCTATGATTTTTTAATGCGAGTAGAAATCCAGCGAAAAAATTCCAGCATTCTGAAGATTTGTCTGCCAAAATATTTTCCGTTTCAGTCGGCTCCTAATTACTGTTCTCCAGGCGAAACGATAAGTTAAAAAGTAAATAACTGTTTCCAAAACTTTTGAAAGCCTCATCTATTTCTTGTACATTCTGCTTAGAAAATATCCTTGCGTTTTTAAAGAATTCAAAGCCGCAACGACCTCTACCGTCGCCCAAGCGAAAACCCCGCTCGCCTTGTCGTGGATCGTTTAATTATCGTAAAAACTATCCGCAGCCGGGGCACGTGAGCCCATCTGGCGCACCTCTCCCTCGCTATCATCTCCACCATCCGGTCTGCATCGATAACCCGAGTGACGTCGGCCCGTGCGCCGAAATACACTTTAATTTCCCTTTTCCCGGGCCCTGTCGAAATTACCTCCCAGGTAATTACCATCTTTTTTCTCCCCGCTCCCGCTTCGCGGCGGCGGAACAAAAGCCCGGTCTGCGGGACAATACACAGCGCTTCCTTTTTCCCTTACTGTCATTTTCATCCCAGGCCACACATGTATACAGTGTAGCGCCGATTGCTGACTGCCGGGATGGGTATTATTGGGAAAATTTTCCATCAATACTTTTCACCTTTAGCGTTCAAACACGCGATGTTTTCTCCCGAAAAGCCCCGGTTGCGTTTGTATGCGCTCCTGCTTAAGCTGCCCATATGGTCGTTGCAAAATAATGGAAATATATTCAGAAAACTGATAATAAAAAATTAATACCTCCACATTGTAAATTTGATCACAAACTCGATAATCACAAGCCAAGTCCCAATCTGGAACGAAGAGTCACTCGCCTATACACTACGATATTTTGCTTTAACGGATTATGAACTTCGTCCATAACAGCAAGTACACTAGAACAGTAGAATTAAATTCTTTAGAGTCGGGACGATCAAAATTACGAGGACCCAACCACACCGAAGAATATTTGTCGGCATTATAAAACCCAAAAAAAAGGTTTTCTTAGAAGCAAAGGCGTTCGCTTAAAACTTTCAGCTTTCGAAAAAAATACTTAATTGTCGAAAAAAATACTTAAATAATTGCAAACTCATTTCTGGCTAAAAACCACTGGTTTTCAGTGGGAAACAAATTGATCGTACGAGCACCCGTGTCATAAATCTGTCGGTACAATTTTAAAAAAAATTATTTCTGCATTTTTGACAAATAAATAAGATTTAGCTTGATGTTTTCTTAGACGAAATCAGCAATTAATTTGTGGAAATGCGTTTCGCCCGGCTGAAAAAAACCTCCGTTAAATTACTCATTTTGACTGTCGAATTCCTGATTGACATTTTCCGAAAATCATACCAAAACCTTCCTCCAGAAAAAACCCATCCCAACGACTTCCGCTGCAGCGCACACACGCCACAGCCGTACCGAACAGCCACCCATCCCCGTTTCTATCCCGTGCTGGCGCGCACATACACCCGCATACATCGTTTATACAACGGCACACGCCAAGCGTACTGGCAAACGGATATCCCATCCGCTGCAGCACACACACACACACGCTCCCTGCATACACTCCCGCCGACGAGGCAAGCAGCCGCGAAAACGCCGCACACACTGCCTTACGTAACCATTAACGACAGATGCACTATATTCAAGGCTCTCTCCCTTTCCCTCTCTCAGTGTTCTCTCGTCTCATCTCTCTTCTCGTCGATCGTCAGCATGGTTTATTTGCAAGAAACGTTTGATCGATAAAGTGATATTTATCTGTAACAGGTCCGTTGACGAACGTCGAACCGCAGCCCCAACGTCGAACCCTGGTTACACGCGGGGCCCTTCTTACGGGTGACCTTTCGGCCAGACATCGGGCTCATTATGCATTAATCGCGGGGATTAGTGACGGTGATATTGCGGAGTGTATATCTTCCGTTGTTGATCTTCCGTTTGTTGATTAGTGTACTGTGTGCTGATCGCCGAGCGGATGTGTGTTGTATATGTGTACGCGATCTGTTTCGGGAGGGTGCTGGAGCTGTTTGCAGCCGGGCCAAATTGAACCAATAAAACAATTGGTCCCCTTCAACCAGCTGTAGCCCACACCGAGCAGATGCGCTGCCATTACGCGTCAATCGGACCACGTTGTTCCTGTTTCATGGATTATTTTCGCGGAAAATACCGGCGCCTAATTTCCCCCGGTAAGTCCATTTAACAGAATTTCAAGCGAATTTTTTCCATTTTTTTAAAGATTATTACGCATTAAATTTTGTCATCAGCAGCAAACGGCAACAGTTTTTCCATGCTAGCCTGTACTAAGTGAATTCGCCAAGAAGTTTTATTTAAATTCTTTATCAACATATCACTTTTGACTGGCTGCATTGAATCTACCGCAATAAATTCATTTTGCATTGTACGTACAACATTTAAAAAATATATATGTTAACAATTACCGGCACTAAAAAAATTCAATCAATTTTTCCAAATTGACATTTGCGAATTAACCATACCATCAACGGCAGGCCAGCGTTTTCCTTATCGTCAAAATAATTTCAAAAAATTACCAAATCAACGACACACGTTATTTATTATGTTCCCCAGTATCTTCAGATTTTGGTTAAGTTGCAGAAGAAGCCATTGTACTACGCTATCATCTGCACCCAGCGTAACCGCGCGAAATGTGGAAACAAGCGCCCGCCTGCATTCCGCGTCGGCGGCGCTTGACGCGCGCTGGCACGGCTCCCCAGGTAGGAGCGTTGCGCCGCTGCAGGCCCGCGCGAACGGCGGAGGAATGCATTAAAAATCGATCGGGCCCATCAGGTTGCATCAGCACTGTGTGCCGGGTTTTTACGCAACCGGCACTCCACGGAGAAGCGTCCCCGGTCGCCCAGATGCAGGCACGCGCCGCTATCACCGTATGCCCGGCATTATAACCACGGCACTCCACGACACAAGCAATTAATCCCCGACTGCACCGACCCTGATTGAATATGACACCCGCGCGCGCACTCGGCACTTCCAGAAAAATATCTCTGCCCACTGATTTGTGCGGCGCGGTGCAAAGAACACAAGAGAGAGTTGCGGGAGGGTATGGACGCAATTATGAGCATTTTTTTGGTCTCTTAACAATTTAACATCGCGTTCGACCCGATGAAGAGTCGCGATTCAACGACAGCAGGGAATTTTACACTGAATTCCTGTGCGAAAATGTCCGCGGTGAAGTTTAAAGCTCTGTTGTCATGCTTCACTGTCCGAGAAAAATTAATCTATTTTTTCAGCGAGAAACAAGTTCAACTGTGGGATGAGCCGAGAAAACAACAGTCTCGCTTGCCAGGAAAAAAACAAGAATAACGCTAATAAAAAAGCCAGTTTAATTACATCAGTTTCAATAAATTAGAAAATTTAACATGATGAATATTTTCAGTTTATGGCAATACAAAAACAGCGGAGCAATCGATTGGAACTCTTTTTAAACGTCAACTAACTGGTAGACCTAGTCTTAAAGTTTAATTTCGGATCATGATTTGGCTTTTATAGCCAGTGCTCTACGCTATTAGCCAATTTCCGATTTGTTCCAGAAAACTATCATAATTAAATCAAAGTGAATAAATTCGTAAAAACTGGTAAAAACGCAGCCAACGGAGACTGACACAATAAATCATCTCCACGATAATCGTAGAAATTTTGTTAATACATTTCGTACACGAAGCCACCCACGCATACACACTACAGACAATCTTGTAAAAGCGGAGTTTTACTGTCCCAGAGCCACAACAATTAGTAAATCCTCCAATGTTCAAGTTTGAAATTTGTATATACCGAAAACAATTGTTTTCATTTTTCCAACTTATATTAATTTAATTTAAAAATTTTTATTATTCAAAACCATTATTTTGTTCATTGTATTTTATTGTAAACCATTATTTCCATTTCACCCTCCCAGAAATTAGCACTGCTTCACGCATGAATCTGACCAGCTGAATTTTAGAGGTCTGCAAAAAAATAATTGTAAACCGTAAATTACTTGCTAAAGGCCGTAATAAGTAATACCAAATATCAACTCACGGAAACCACAGATCAACACACGACTGCCACTTTTCTACAGCACCTATTCAACATGCCATACGTTCATTTTCCCCTTGCCAGTACATGTAATCGAGGTATGAGTGTGTGACCGACACAAAACACCGGATAAGGGATAACACCCTTTGCACTATTTTCCACATCAGTATGAACTAATCTTAAATGAAAACCTTATCATCCATTTAAAAAAATGCAAACCTTGTAAATTTCTACATTGAAACACTAACAATCTGCCAAATACAGAGTACACGGATACCCAAAAGAATTTCCTCGACCATGTGGTTGAACCGGTCGCAAGAAAACCAAAGAACTCAAAGAAACTGGTCCTATAAAATACAATTATAAATAAATAATTAAATCACACATATTCCAAATCCGCAACCACGTATTTAATATATAATCGTCAATAAATAAAGAAAAACTCCGTTTCACGCTATCGCTTCTCAAAACTTTGAGCTCTGCATCAGGCATCTACCTGAAAAGCCACAACACTACGCTTCATCACGTACAATCACCCGCCGTCCCATGAAGTTAAACATTTGTCATTTGTATATAATTCTGCCCATCCCTTTTTTGCATGCAACGCACGCAACCTTGTAAAATTCTTAGAAATGACTGTCGAAAAAACAGTTATCCAGTTATTAAATAATAATAATTATCATTTTGTTCTCAATACAGTACTACCACGATAGATCTATCAATTCTTATTTACTTTCCTTTGAATGGAAATGGTATTTAATTTTCAGTTCGGGCCAATGCCGTTCATGAATGGCTTTCAAACTGATGCAATGCCATCGTAACACGGACCGTCTCCCGCCCAGCGGCGGACACCGGCGTTTCCGCTTACCTGAGATTCCCGCGCAGTGCCGCGTGATGCAGGACGTTGAAGCCGTTGTTATTGCACAGTCCCACGTCGGCGTTGTGATCCAGCAGGAGCGCCAGGATGTCGTCGCGCTTCTTACTCACCGCATCGTGCAGCGGCGTATCCCCTTCACTGTCCTGTAGTTATACAACACACACACCTGCATCAATAACAGCGGACACGGAAGCACCATTTATCTTTTTATTTCAGCTGTTTTATTTATTGTTTATTTTAGTTGATTTATATATTTCTCCTGTTTTAGTTGACTCTTTTCTATGTTTTTATTTTAGTTTATTTATTAAATTCTTTTATATTTCAGTCGATGCATTTATTTCTTTACCTTAGTTAATTTATTTATTTTTTTATTTTATAGAGTAGTTGATTTATTTAATTTTTACATCAGTTGATTTATTAACTTTTTATTTATATTTTTAGTTTTTATTTATTTTTGAATAGTGTTTTATTTAGTTGAATTTCTTCTGGTGTTTTGCCTGGAGACTGGCGTGACAGCCGAACTGCAGCAGGGCCCGGGCCACGGCCACATGGCCCTTGTTGACGGCGATGTGCAGCGGGGTCTGTTTGCGTTTGTTGCGGGCGTTGAGGTCGGCGGCGCCCACGCGCGCCAGCAGTTCAATGATGCCGGCTTCGTCACCGAAGGCCGCGTGATGGATGGCCCGATCACCGTCTTTGTCCTGCAAAAAAACAAGAAGCCCGTCAAATTTCATGAACCTTTGAGCGATTTTACCATTTTGTAGAAAGAATTTCTTTTAAAACACGAGTAAATGGAATTGTAAAATTAAACAAATAATTATCCCGTCAGATGTTTATCGAAAATGTTCTCCTTGTCAGCGCTGCATGCTTAGGGAAAAAATCTTCCAGTTTTATTCATTTCTGACAGGATTCGAATTGCGCTTCATCAAAACTTCAGCAGTTCAGCTTTATCACCCTGCTCATAACATGGCCATCGTACTACGATTTTATCGCCTCCGTAAGAAATGCTTACTAAGGAACGTCCATAAAAAATCTAGAATAACACAAGTGCAAGGCTGCAAGCGCAGCCACACAGCTTATAACACAGCATTTTACAGTCAAAATTATAAAAAAATTATAAAAAAATTATAAAAAATTCTAAAAAAAATTCGAAAAATATCATAAAAAAATTATTAAAAAATTCTAGAAAAATTATAATAAAACTTCAACCAAAATTATGAATCAGACGCATTTAAAGGATTTCATTTGGGACTTTTCAGCACATACAGTAGTGGCCAGAGGAACTGCTAAAACCCCACTGCACTACACCATTTTACTAATGGCACGGTCGCCCAACCAGGAGGCGATATATCTGAATGATTATAAAGCCGCAGCTAATTTGGAAAAGAAATTAACAGTATTAATGTTTTTCTGATTGTAAAAATTTAATCAATCAGTCCTATTAGAATCAATTTTATGGCTAACCGTATAACAACGGCACCGAATGTACCTCGATCTCCACATCGGCCTTGACTTTCAGCAGCATCCCCAGCACATCCACGTGCCCGTTCTGCGCCGCTGCTTGGACGGCCGTGTGGCCGGAGAAAACGCCGTTCACCTGCAAAACACGCTCGTCTTTTCTCACAATTTTCCGCTGAATAAATCGGAATAATTCGGGAAAAATCGCGGGTCGTACGTTGACGTCCGGGCGCTTGAGTAGATCCTCGCATTTGATCACATCGCCACTGGCGGCGGCCTTCACCAGCTCCTCGTGGATGTCGCCGCTCACGTGCGTCTCGTACAGCTTCTTCAGCAGCGCTTGCAAACGAACTGCAAAAAATTAGAAAAAAAACATTAAGCAAACAAAATGTTGGCACCGGCAGAATCCAAAATGATACGTGTTAAACTTTTAAGAATGAACATTTTAATTAACCAAGAGACTTACATTTTGTATATACAGCGCAGCGTTTGAAACGAAACAAAAAAAGGGAAAAGCACGCTAAAGCAAGAACGTCGACTGCCAAATTAAATTCCTAAATGTTCTCCAAAAATCAAAATGCGATGAAGAAAAAAGGAAAGGAATTTGATAATAAAAAAATAGAAGCGAATAATCCAAGCGCACCCGATATCGCATATCCCAAAATTTAAATCGAAATATTTACAGGACAATCGTACAAAAAAGTAGGTGTACATCTAAAAAGACGAACAAATACGTAATTCCCAAGAATGCCTCTAGCATTATCCTGATTATTCAGCGAAAATTGGGTAAAAAAAATTAACCAAATCTTGGATATTCAGAACGTTAGAACTCAGAAGAGTTGACCTTTTAAATCAGACATCAGTTAAGGCAACATTACAGTCTCAACAAAAAGTCCATATAAGCCACATCTCTACAATCATTCACCGTTTCCCACACACAACCACTCAATCACTTATGCACAAACCGAAGCAAACACGAAGAAAAGGTCTTCACGGGGAAAACAATATACGAAAAATCGCTGCGAACAAATCACAAAAAAAATACATAACAAAAATATTAGATAACAAAATATCGAAAAATAATAACCAAAAATTTTAATACTGACTGATTAATATGAAAAAATTACAAATATGAGAAAATGAGCTCTACAGGAAGAACAAATCGGAAAAACCGTTACAAACAAATCACAAAAAAATAAATAAGGAAAATAATAAATACCAGGGTACCAAAAAATAATAAAAAAATTAAATACATAAAATAATGAATGATTAATTAAAAAATAACCACAAAAATAAAAAATAGTTCAAAACTAGAATACCAATAAGAAGTTAAATAATTTGCATTTTTCTCACCTTGGTTGTTGGGTCCGGCGACCTTGGTGACGGCCAGCGGATTATACGTCCAGGAGGTGCCGCAGACCTCCACCTTGAGATCCCCGTCGTGGTACAGCTGCTGCACCCGACCCACCTTGCCCAGCGTCTACACAACAGCACCCATCCTCTTCCACACGCATTGAGCATTCAGATAACCGACTTTTACCGGCAACATGGCCTCCGCCCACTCCCCATGGCCGCGCTGCAGGATCTTGACCCGCTCCGCGTCCCGCGAGACCTCCACGACATCCCCCACCTGAAAGCTCTGATAGCTGGACGCTTCCCCGGCATCCGCGGTGTTGTTGGCCGCGGCCAGATTGCTGTTGTTGGCCGCGGTGGACAGGGCTTTGGTCAGCACCGCCGGATTAAACGTCCATCTGTGCGCATGGCCCGAATCAAGTAACGAAATTTTTGGCAATTTTTTTTATTCGTTTTATTAGTGTATTTATTTTCCAGTATTCATTTTTTCAAACTGATCAAATTTTATCAAATTGATATTCTATTTATGATTTGGTCAGCACCGCCGGATTGAAGTTCCATCGGCTCGAATCACCGCGAATTAACTAACAAATTTTTGGCAAAACGTTATACGGAATTCCGTCTCTACAGCCGGATTAAGCAAATTACCGTGAAACGTTTCTTAAGGCAAATTCATTAGTCTACTCTACATGTGTTATTTTCCCATTTTAAATTTCTAAAATAATTTTATGCTGATATGTAGAATACTCCCAGTCCCGAAGCCAAATCCGCTTTCCGTAACAAAACACAGTTGCAATAATTAATAACAATGACTTCTTTTAAAAAACTGGATACTCTAAAGTCTCTGATTCATCAGAAAAAAAATTCTACAATATTCATATAAAAACTACTTTACACAAAACCTACGGATTACCTATTTCAAATACCACAAAGGAAAAAACCTGGAATGCTTGCTTCAGTCAAACTCAAATTTCGCCCTGTGTCTTGTGTAACAAACAACGTTGCGTGTTAAAAATCCAATTTCGACGGCAGCCGTTAAAATTAGAAAAAATCCCAAAAGGTAAGATAATCCAAAATCCGAAAAATTATGAAAGTTCACCAACAACACGCTTTCTGGTACACCATTCAGTTAAGCATTTCGTGATAGCGTATTACCATGGAAGCCATTCCACTACAAAATGTTACTATAATTAGAGCAACAGCTGCGCGCATCAAGTGAGGTAAAGTGCGCTAGCAATGTGTTTAACATTCTCTTACAGTTTAAAATCCACAAATCAGTAAATAACAATTAATTAACAATAAATAAAATAATTTTTTCTCCACGCTAAACAAGAATTTTAATAATCCGTGCCAAGAAAATACCACATCACAGCAGTGGCTGGCCTTCAGTAGTATTTATATTACTTAATTATTTTTTAAAATTTTTGTTATCTACTAAAGCAAATAACTGATTCTCTTACTTATTTCCGCTGGGATACTGCACAACAATATCATGATCCTCATCGATCCCGATGACGATGCCCGTCGTTCCCAAACACTACCACAATCCCGACAATGAAACCGCCGCACGATGAATAAAAATACAAAAATAAATGGGCTGACTTCGAACATCCCATCCGTCCATCCGCCATGGCCGTGCTGCAGCGACTGCACAATCTCCAGCTCCAGATCCACGTTGACGTTGTCGCCGATGGCGAAGACCTGCGGGCCGGGCCGGCCGGGGATGTGCTCGCCCAGCAGCGGCAGATGGTCGCGGTAGTAGGAGCTGCCCTTGCCCTCCTGGATGCACTTGATGTCCGACATCCCCTCGAAACCCACCCTGCGCAAAACGATAACCAATCGAAAAAAAACACGGAAAAATAATTCCAGATTACCGACAAAATTATTTTTCTATTTAACAGATCTGTAAGAATCGCCTGGACGTATTTATTTCTAAATGAACGACAAATACTCTACTGGGAAAAATCGATCCAGATTACAGAAAAAGGTTTCATTGTAACAAATCCGTGAGGATTGACATGGCGTATTTATTTCTGATTAAATCGTACTATTTTACGCATTAATTCGATAAGTAAGCTATAAATAAATTTCACCGTGCAGTGATTCAATTTTTAATTCAACTATTTTATCTTTCGGTTTTATTTATTTCGAATAAAAATTTCATTATTCGACTCAAAGCCAATTTTTCACCGATTACTAGCACAGCAGCAGCAAAAGCAGTACTTCTATTGGTAAACAAAAAAAATTCTTATAAAAATTAATCAATGGAGAATTTTTTAAAAAAGGGCAAAACGATATTGAAGAGATTTATTTCAAAATATTTATTAAGAAAACTTTTTCTTATATTAAGCGGTAGAGTTACCGGTAAAGATTCTTGCCGCCGTGCTCCCAGACCACATAGGCCGCACTGCGCGGACTGGCCGCCGACCAATCCTGGATTTCCGTCAGCTTCCCGCGTTTCCCGTTCCCACCGTCCTGATCTTCCCACTGCCAATCCACGCCTGCAACATCATCGCGAATAATGCGGGAAATAACTCATCTCAACCGACGCACAAACATCAATCGTCACCAGTTTCGCAAGTCAAATCTCGATTAATTATACGGAGATGCATAATCTGTAATTTGGTACACAGTACACACACAAAAATAAACCAACGTATGTGCAATTTCGTACATGCAAAAGCACAGGAAGGATGTCAGTAAATAATAATAAAATATTAAGGATTATTGTCGTAAATCACCAGCGAAATTGATAAGAAATTTCTAGAAAAAATAATTTAAACAGATAAATAGCAAGCAGAAAATTGTCAAAAGCAGCACCGACTTCAGTTGGCGCGCATTGAGCTCCGTGCGCCGTAACACTACAATCATTCACCCTTCCATTGCACAATCTAACGAACGAATTCTGTGTACACGAGTGAAAAAAACCGAATCTAGCCAAGAAAAATGGCGAAAAAACTGATGTAAACAAATCATCACGGAAATAATCCAGTACACGTGACCTACCGCGCACCACCCGGGCGTTGCCGAAGAGTCCGCGGGATTTCTTCTTCTTGCTCTTGAAACGCGGCTCCATCAGCAGGCGCTCGGTGTTGGGCGCCGTGGTGCGATAGAAGCGGTGGCGCAGGTTGTGCTTGTCGCCGTGATAGCACGCCGAGCACAGGTCGTAGTTGGGGCACTCGAAGCACTTCCAGCGGATCCCGTAGATGGGCGTCTGCCGGCACGAGTCGCACATGGAGCCCTCGTGCTTCACCCCTGTGCGACAAAGAGGACAATTACAGACAGCAATTCGGCAATACTGTGTGCTGCAAGAATACGTCTAAATAATCCTATAAAAATCCGCATAAATAATCCTATACGTATAGCCCATCCAAGTGTATTAGATGGTGAACGATCGTAGTGTGATGGCTCCTGTACTGATGATACATAATTATCTCTTAACTATTAGAGTTTCCTTCAGCAGTGTCGCTCTAGAATAACTGTAAAATTGTATCACGAGATTTCTAGTTTTTTCTTACGTTTCCTTTGGTTTTGTGTATGCTAAATTTTTATCATTTTCGGTTTTTAAGATCATGGAATAATTCTAAAAGGAAGCCGCACAGCAAACGAATTATTCGTTAACTGAATCATACAACGAAAAAAACGTAAAATACACGTTGTAAAAATAGAAGCCAAATGGTTGGCCAGAAAATTCATCAAAAATCATCAAAAATTATTACCCAAATACCAATGGCAGAAAACAAACTCTTTTGACAGTTGTATCGCTAAAATCATCTAATATAAAATTATAAAATTAAATAAGAAGCTTTCGAAAACAATCTGCTTTCTGTGAAAGACTAATTATCAACTTAATATTTAATTTTTATACAAAATATAGTTGTGACTTTGTCGTGCACCAGTGACGGGACAATCCTGCGTAAACGGCAAACATCGAGCAACCAACATACGAAATTCACTCCACTCTCAAAAATTGTCCGTTACTTACTAATGCAAAGAGTTAATATGGATCATTTCCGAACAAAAAGATAATAAAATAATTAAGACTTATTAAATTTGTTCCCCGCGGGCCACAGTCTCTACTTCCGATGCGGTTATAACGTCAAAAGAAAATGATGAAAACCAATATGAAATGATGGCGCTAAGTACTGGTACCCCCTACAAAACTTATATTCATAAAAACCGACCCACCAACTCCGAACTCGTCAGTGCCCCCAAAACGCAAGCACCCCCCCCCCTTCTCCCACTTGCAATGGTTGCACCCCTCCCCCGTCCCCGTAACGAAATCCCTCGAAACTCACTAGTTCCCCGTGTCCCCCTCGCACGGGTACCCCCTTCCCCCTCAACCCGTTTCTCTCACCTGTGGGACTGCTATCCAGGATCCGCAGATCATACGCCGAGGCGCAGCGATAGTTGGCCGCCGTCCCGTTATCCCACACGACCACCACCTCCTCCACCGACTCAAAATTCCGCACTGTCCCCACATGCCCCTCTCCGCCGTCCTGCTCGGCCCACTTCCAGTCCGGACCGCGCACCTACAGCACGCACACTGCATTCTACTGCACAAGGGGGAGGGAAAAACAGGGAAGAGCGTACCACACGACTGCCCACACCGTCCTGGGTGGGGGCGCGCGCGGACCGCGACACAGCGCTGGCGTTGGTGCTGACGAAGGCCCCCGCGGCTGTGATGGGCATGCTGCAAGCTGTGATCAACCTGGCAGTCTGGCACTCCGCGATACTCCCCAGTATCAACACAACGGCCAACAAAACAACAATGCCCAGCCACGCAACAAATAAAACAATAAGTGTTTATAATTTAGTAGAACAAAAACATGAAAAACCTTCACAATCAGAATTGTAAACAAGTAACTAATTGTAAATCCTACGAAATTTAACCAAGCTGAAAGCAGGTATAACATTAACAACCCAGCACGCAGTACCATGCACGGTATCGGGCAACCGCCCTTGGAAACCGCTTTCAATCCGCGCTTTTTAATAATATTATGTACCCAACCGGAAGCATTTCACGTACGCGCTCATCGACTGCTGCAGATCTTTACTTTTGCTCGATCAGTTCAACCAAAAATAAATTCTATAATCTAGAATTCACCAAGAATCTTCAATCACAGCGAACGAAGCTACTAAACCTGCTCATTCCATAATCAACCGCATCACTGCACTAACAACTAACAAATTTCACTGGTCAAGCGAACATAAATCCATATTCTGTGCTCGTACATATCGACAACTGACCAGATCGAAGAACACATTGCAAAGAAAGGTGATGTAACCACCTATTACAACAGCAACATCCAGCCGCAACCGTAGAACAAAAGGATCTGCTCCAAACTTATTCCGGGGATACACACGCAGCGAGCTGACGGGGTGGATACAATTTCCCGGCCGGGTTCCGGGGGATGGACGCCTTGACGCTCGATCTACAGGAAGTGCATACGGTCGCGCAATGACGTCGCCGGCGACTGATGCAGGTTGTGGGCGATGAGCTGCGAATGCTTCTTGGCACACATCAGAGCAGCCGGGACGCAAATCGGGCCCTTGAAACCGGCAAAACAACACTGTACTCTGGTATCACGATTTACCAAACAGATACGTACGAGACCTTGCCATAATTTATACTCTTTCCGGTTACGTCCTACACATCAAAATTTCTTACAATTCGATCACTCTAAATATCTATCAAGTATCCTTGTACGAATTTACCGGTAGTGCAATTTTCCAGCAAATCCAAGTAATTCTTAGATATAATTAATAAATAAAAAATATATTAAAATATTTTTTTTATATATATATATAGAGAGGTAATATATCAAATTAATTTGTTTGAAACAAATTAAAACCTTTGCTCATGAATTTTTCAGTCCAGACCATGCAAAACATCGACTCTGTTAATTTTTACCAAATGAATAACACAAAATACCTATAGCCGGTTTATAAAACTGAATTAATAATTAGTCAACCGGTAGTAAAGTTTTCCCCGAAGATGAGCTGAATTCCGAATTACAGACCATCGTGGAACAGCCTTTCGCAGCAGCGCGTTAAATCGTGCAGTTACAAAAGTACTAGTACTGTATAAAAACTATTATATAATATAACTTATACAGTATAAGCATCTACCACGTACGTACCTGCCAGTTGTAATAGAGATGGCACAATCGGTACGTCATGAGCTGCAGATCGTCCATCTTGCGACCCGCATCATCCACAATGACATGGTAGTACGTCGGTGACGCTGTCCCTTCCCGAACGTTCTGCGCCACGACAAAGAAATCGCGTCTGCCAAAATTACCGCGCCATTTCAGTACGACGTTCACTCCCGCTGCGAATGCACCTATACAACGGCCGCTTACCGGTCCGCCCGGGTGACGACCCGGTCCACGACGGTACCCGGTAACGGGTTGCCCACGGTCTTCCCGTTCTCCTGGAAGAACCGCGTACCGACATTCCGGCTGACCACCATGTATGTTAACGCAATCCTGCAAAGAAAAATTGCTATAAAACTCAAAATATACAATGCAAATTTGTGATAATGACTTCTTGTTAGTTGAGAGTCCACCGATAACGCTGCGCACACCGGAAACTTCCGTGTCTATCAGCTTCTTAAGCTGTCCGTCAGAGATGGCTGAAAAACACTTATGTGAGCGTTACTGAAATTTCTATACGCATTTCATTGTAAATTTAACGTATACGATGATACTGTTAACCCGCATAATCTTCGTGAAACTCTACCTATGTAACGAACTATTTTTTAAACTCTGCATAGCGTCGAAATTGTATCTCGAATTAGGAGTAAATTTTCTTGGAAGAAAAACGTAGCGATAGATACAAACCGCCGCGGTATAGCAGGACATCAGCCGGATATGCCCCGTTCTTCGCCCGGAAATTCTCTAGGCACTCTGTATACATAATATAAAATGTAATTCTTATCGAGAAGGTAGTTGTCAATAAGGAATATATGAAGCGCAGAAATACCCTGAATAAGCGACGCGACCGACTGCATGGCCTGCTCGTCCGTGTCGACGAAGCGGTCGGCGTTGTGATACTGGGCCAGGTCGCGGTTGTACGTCGCCGCGGCCACCACCACCGTCTTCTGCTCCCGGTGATCCGCGTGGCAATGGATGCCGACCACCATCGGATACGATTCAAACCCAAACTGAACCAACAAAAATCATAATTAAGTCCCAGATGAATTTTTCATCCAAAAATACAACAGTGAAATCCTGTTTTTGTTACAAACTTGTGACGTGACTGGCTTGAGCTAATAAAAACAGTGAAATATAACGTTCAGTAGAGAAATGCACGTTGGTATGCATCAAGGCAGGCGGTGTACATATGTACACTGTGCGTACACCGTACAGCACTGCGAAATTTCAACAAAATTCAAATCTGTACATAAATTTAAAAAAAAATCAATTGTTAAACGTGTATAACTAGCATGTTGCGAAGTAAATCATTACACATGTAAATACAATTCGTATGAAGAGCTACAGGTCATCTTTGATGTAACGCTATATATGGAGGACAGTCAGAAAAACGCTTTCCGTGTCGCGCTAATGTTTGCGTTGACCTTACGTTCAGAATCCAGCTGGTGCCTCCCATTTTGGCGTTGATCTGCTGGCAAAGGGAGGTTGCCACGCTGCGGAGTGTGCCCGGCTGTCCTCTGATGGTCTTGGCCAACACAACTTGGGAGACAACTATGCAATTCCATCAGCACACCACTGAATTACTGCTGTACGTTTGACTGTTTGACTCAAAACAACGATGCGTAACTTACTGCCACGGTGACAGGACATGAACTGCTTAAACGCGCTGTACCGCTGCTCGTCGTCCGTAGCGAATACCGCCAGTACCTAGAAATTATTTGCCGGGAAAATTAACACCGGAAAACAGTATTTAAACGGCCGGATTTTTTCTTATGAACATACAAGTACCGAAAGATAACGAAGCACTATAGACCCTTACCAAATCCAAAACACGAGGGTCCTTTCCCACCCGCTCGATGTACGATTGCACAGCATCCGTCACGATTCCTCTGCAAAATGCAGGCTAGTACCAGTTCGGCCGACAAAGTTCACTACATAATCAATGCATACAGTTCGGGTTGGTTGTAGTGGACGCCCATTCCGACAGCGACATCCAGCAGGAGACGAACAAAACCCATTACATTTGCGCGGTGCTGCTCGGTGACCAGTACCAACCAGCTGCGCACCGGCGTGACCGTCTGCTGCAACGGGTGGCTACGCACCTCCCGGCCCCACTCGGCCTTCCCGGCATCGTAGGAAAACTGCAGATTACAGTAACCAAATCATTCATCATTCGCCACTAATAAACAGTTTTGGACAAACTGTAATTATGTCAGGTAATGTCTAATCGGCAGCGATCCGCGATTCAGAACTAATTTTAGGTACCGAACATGTCTGCGTACGTACTTGTTCAATAAACGGTAATAATTAAGTTGACATATACTTTGCACATACAAAGAACAGTGTACAATATTTGTAGAAAAGCGCTTGTCAATTGGTTTAATAGCCAAGCCTAAGATTTTTGCATTAGCTACAAACTTCCCGCTAGACAACTTGCAATTTGCGCTACCGTAAAATTACACGATACTCGCAATACTGTGACCGTGATCGTATTGGACAATTCCTGCTTATATCAGGATAATTCGAGAAGCGCCGTATTGAAGAAATTCTACTTGTACCATGGAAGCCGCTTATTCCCCACCAGTTTTTGCACAAGTACTGTACCTCTTTCCCGCTCTGCTGTAACTGTGGTGGACGCAAGCGTCGCCCTTCCACCCCCACCAGCTCCTTCCCGTATTCAACGTCCCACGCATGAATCGTTTGCTGGACATTACTATTCCTAACCAAATGATTTCACATTACCAACCGATAATGCAACGCGTAAAAATGATCTGCCTACGTAGTCAGACGATGGATGAAGGCCTCCGTGGCGGCCTTGCGTCGTGGTGGGTCCAGTTTGGTGTGTCTTGCAACCGCTTGCATCATCCGGACGTCGGACCGCATCTGCTCTGTGTAGCCGGTCATCCGGCACAGCTCGGGAACCAGGCGGATCTCGTGGGTCCCGGCACGGCGCAGCGCTCGATTGGCCGGTTGGGATACCAGGAGCGGCTGCTGCAGGTCCGTGATATGACCAGCGGCGCCGTAATGCTGCATGCAAACTCAAATGCAATGCACACCGATCACCATGCTAACTGATAGTAACTAGTTACTGACCAAGTTGATACACTAATGCCATACCTGCACGAAATACTGCTGAAACGTCATTTTTCCATGGGGACCAGAGACGGTAGAAAGAGACACGGGCGCTGTAGCCCAGTCGATGCTCTCCACACGGTACGTCAGGTTGTTATACCTGTAATTGCCATACAGTACACACGGCAATTAATTACAGCAATTAATTACAGAATTAATTACAGTAATTTAACCCAACATCAAAAACAGTTACAATGTATTGTACTCGTATAATGTACATAACTCCAAGCAATACCGGTCCACCGTCCACTTACGGGGTAACGACAACCTGACCGATCAGCGCTTTGGCCACCTCCGTTCGGCCGAGCAGCTCACCATCATCTTTGTGCTTCAACATCACACGGCGCAAAACGTCTAACGCCGTCTCCTTTCTACAAGAATGAAGTGCAGCTATCATGCTAAGTACTACATTATGCGCATTCCGGGCATTTCCAAAATACGGATCCGCGTACCGGAAACCAGAGACACGATATTCTTTGCTGTATTCCACATGACAAAACCTTAAAAAAATTTAAAACGTGATAACTACTGTTTTGTTCAAGGTTGCACATGCGATTTAAAAAAATATATCAAGGTTTCTAATGTGGAACAACAAAGAATACCGTGTCTCGGGTGCTCGGTACGCGAATCCGTACGGTAAACACGTAAAACGTCCACAATGTAAACGAAATGCGGTAAACGTCCACAATATTTATGCATTTCTGTAATAAGAAAGTAAATCGCAGCTTGTCCTACCGCGCAGCGAGGAATCGCTGATCGATCTGCATCAGCAGTTCGTCGCCCTCGCACCGGCCGATCGAGGTCTCTATCCCAGGCCAGATTTCGACCCTAATTAACCAAAGACTTTTACATGCTATCGTTATCGATATAATAATGGTAAAAAGAATTTATTGGCGCCTTAAAAAGGTCAACCCACCGTCCCTGATAGCCCGCCGGCTGTACTTTCTTGTCCGGATCATAGCAGGCATCGCGAATACGGCTCATCTACAGGTCTTTCTCCTGAAATCTGCGATGACAAAAGTTTTAAAAGGTCAACCTTTTTTCGGGGATTCAGACTACCGCCGCGGGCCGCTCATGCCGCGTTAATCACTTGCGGATATCGGACATTCTTTGGTGCAGATATTCTCGATAACGACCAGCAAGTACTTACCCTTTCAGCTGCGAATTCAGCATAGCCAGTACCTGCGGATTTTCCGCCTGAGAGTACCGGTACAGTAGACCTGCACACCCGTCTGCCGACCATCGAACTCCACAGATTCATGACATTCCTGTAGCAGAAACACAAGCTGGGTGAGCAAGGGGTCGGGCGCGTCACTACATCGAAGGATTCGGGTTTGTTGGTTACGCCGTTACGGTACATTCAAATTTTAACATAGGTGGAGGCCTCCTTACCGTGGCACACTATGCCCTACTGAATACCCGTTTCGAAAATTGGGGAACGGTCGCTGCACGCGAAATACATATCGATATCGATCTTATAATAATTGTAATTCGAATCGGTTCCTAGTTGGGCAGTTACACTTTGCGATCCAACGAATATCTTTGGATCACCCATCACACGTTACAGTACGTAAATCAAACTCTACTCGCTATCGCGATAACAAAACTGAAGTACGCAGTACGATGGGATTTTCGTACAAATTTTAATACGGCACGTTCAATATTCACTCAAATTCTGAAGTCCATTTATTAGAAAGCAAGCCATAAGCGCAATAAATATAAATATGAACAATACTGGTATTTTTAGTTCAACTTTGTCAGACGTAGCTCAAATTTAATTTAAATGCTCGAAAGTCGCATGAGCTGTGTTTTAAAAGTAACGGGTCCATGGCTAAGAAAATGCGTAAATTGAACCAATGTCGCTTTACAGGAGTGGTTCAGAATACATAGTACACACTAACGTAATTACCTTTAAACGTAAAGCTATGTCATTAATCTGTACGAGTACTATTGTAAAGCGGCACTGGTTCAATTTACATCATAACGTCAGCCACACATTTTGCTGTACTACTTTTACTGCAGAGAACAAAACAGTTGCAGTTGTAGTCTTGTAGACAAAGTTATTACTAACTTTTCTCAAATTTCTCGTACAATGTGGTAATGAAAAATTATGTATAAAATATCATGTATTATAATTGATAGTAATAATATAATCACAATGTTTACATTCGCAGTACCGGTGCACTCGTATATAACAGGATTATATGGTGGGCCGGCAATTCGACTGACCTGCTTAATCATTTCCGCGCCGGCGGGGCTCGCGTATAGGAGACTTTGCCCGTCGAAGACGAAGGTGTGCTGCCACCACTGTTTCACCTGCGCCAGCGCTTGCACGATCGCGCAGCGCAGACCACGTGACCCTGGCTCTGGATCGAACTCCACCTGGTACTGCAGGACAGGCGCCGGTGATGTGACCTTTACTTCTGTATTGTTTGCGCGCAGGCGCACCACATCCCCGACACTGCCTGTATAATGCCACAGCAAAGACTTCTACGGATGTAAGTACGAGATGTAAAGTACATGTCGCTTTCTAGCCGAATGTAAGCGTCGTTTAGCGGAGATGTTCCTATCGCGTATACTGCTATTGAGTCTTATAGTCTGCTGCGCCGGCTTCAGTAATAATCTTACCATAATAGTCTGTGTATAAGGTATATAGTATACTTCTATTGTATTTTTGCCGAAGAAAAATTAGACCGAGTACGACGGTACCAGTTATGAATACTCGGAAAAAACGCTTACATTATGCCGGTTAATATGTGAGCCGCCGACAGACTGTTAGCAAAACAAATGTGTAAATATTTATTTCTGAAGAAACTGCACAGCGTGAAAGGGCTGCTGTTTAAGGAAAAACATTAAAGTTTACATGGAGTATTTTTTACGGCATTAAGCGTCGGAATTCGACAGTGCTTACCATGATACAAGGTCGGCTGGGACTCCGGATTACGGGATGACTGACCAGAGGACGCCATGGTAATGTTGCGCTGGTCGCGGCAGGCAGCTTTATCCGAGGGAGCTTAATACGGAAGCAATCTACAATACTGATAAAAAAAACCGAAACAATTCTCAACTTGATGATAACAAAGAAAATCTAACGAATAAGGAGTTTAGCAAAGAAAAAGATCATCTAAAATACACATTCATAATACGAACACAAGCACTAAGAGAAAACCAAAGCGATAGTAAGTACGTACTCGTATAGATGCAGACTATAGCGTCGCTATACTTTTGTATGACATTAAGTTAACTCGTTAAAACAGAAACAGGGACTTTAGCGTCTTTTGTTCTTACCTGACGAAAAATAAAACTCCTAGTGGCTACATAAGTATCCGTACGACGTTTCGTAAATCAAGCCAATAAATTTGGTTGTGTGATAAACTGATAATATTACAAAGGGTTACAGTCACTATTTTATTACCATTTATTGCTAAAACAAAAATTAATTCCCCTGATTATTCTAAAAATCCTAACATTGTTTACAACAATAACAACATTATTGCTAGTTACACAAGGACTTTCATTAGACATCGCAATAAATGTAATAATCAGTAAGATTTAAATTATTCTCCGACCGTCTGACGTACCTGTTATCCGAACAAAGATGATGTCCAAAATTCAGCACTCAACTGGAAAAAATCACGAACGAGCTATGAGTTGAAAACTTTAACGAAATCTTTATTGATAATATTGTAGGGGAGAATATTACAAACATAAAAACAGTAGCCAGCTGGATTACGTTGTCTAATAAAATCATTTGGTTTTAAATTATAATGTGTATGCTAATTACGAAATTTACCAGATCCAGTTATGCAACATCTGCTATAAAGTGTAATGTCTCAAGCTGAGCGGAGAGGGGGCAGTGGAAATGTTTCAGTTTTCACATTACCCATTTACCCCTAATTCGAAAAGAGAAAACACTATTACTAACGTTTAGCTTGTAAATACAGATATCGTTATAGATTCGTAAGAAACTTACCCGAAATTTCGGACGCAAAAAGAATAATCCTATCGGATAGGGCCGGTCGATGGAATGAAATTCAATGAATGAGGCAGCAGAAAAAGACGAGCCTAAAATCTGAAGACTTCTTGTCCCTGAAATCATCAAGAAAACCCAAAAATTTACACTCGGAAAAAAAACGGCGAAGTGCTACCGTAAGTAGACGATAACTGGCAGGGAATGCGTAAACCCGGTCTAAAGAAGCTGGGAGATTCATCAGGGAGATTACCGGCTTACCGGGAACTGCATTCTCGATTTGCTCGCACCGACGAGTCAATGACTGCACCCCGGTGTACTCGAAAACGCATTATAAAAGAAACTATTTTTAAAAACAATTTTTTTATCTCGTGGCGTAATTTGGGAATGCTCACTTAATTTGGGAAAAAAAGCATTAGTTCCACACTTCATAATAATAATTATTGTTATAAAGTGTGGATTGTGGAACTGACTCTATTATGCTCGTTTGTTTAGTAGTACGACTGCACGACAGAGGATCATTGATCACTCATGGTCAATAGCCCTAGTCTTCCAGATAAGCCGGTGTTTCCCACAATTATTACTCTACAATTTTGCTGATAAAATGATACGGTAACAACGGCGGTTGGCGATGTAGCAATAAGCAGATATTCTGTGTGCGGAATCTCGTTTCTCCAACCTCTTCTCATCAATTCCTTTAATTTCTGTGATTTCGACGAAAAAAATGTTGAAAACCAAGGTACTGTCATTTTAGTGCTACATATATTGCAGTCGGTGATCGTTTAATTCCTTCGTTAACGAGATCCAGTAATTAACACAAGCCGAAAATTATCGACACATCGCACAGCTTCCCTCCGCAACCAGAAATTACGCGCAAAATTCACCTCATAAAATTGTTACGAAACAAAACAACAAAATTCTCCGATTATACACGCATTAGTAAGAAACATCACAAATTGCTGTACAGCAAACCCGGCTTGCCACCGCAAAATGTTAAAAACAAAAATACCGTACGCGGCAGACTGAGTCCCAACCGCTGCGCAATGACGCGCCCCATGGAAATGATAAAAACTGAAAATGCAAAAAAATAACATTCTCTAACAATCAAAAAAATATCCATCCACTCAACAAATCCATGCCGCCCATTCCCGTCAACGTATCCCCAAACGCGCGACCGCGTCTACAGGTAAAACATGCGTTCGCGCAGACTGTCCGCGGCCTTCTTGTGCAGGTTCAGCGCGATCAGCTGCGCGTGCTTACGAGCGTACTGCACGGGCGCCGGCACACGGATCGTTCCCTGAAATTTTACAGGAAATTCACAATAAATGGCCGCAATTCAACAATAAACAGCAAATATAAAAAAGCTCATAATTCATGGATTATTAACAGCTTCAACGACATTTCTTCAAAAAATTTACAAATAATTACACACTTAAATGTACCGAAATCTTTTTAAAATGTCTTGACAGACCAATCCCAACAAAATAAACAGCTGGCAAATCATTCGCTAATTTAGAAAAACTTTCCCCGTAAAAATTACCAAATTAATCAAATAGCTGGTATGACGAAAATATTTTTTTCCTCAAATATTCACCGCAAAAGAACTCCACAATAAATTCCAATTTTGCTACAGGAAAATCTCAACATGCAAAAACAATTTTCGTAAGCGTTAGTAATCAAGAGAAAATAAATTCACAAATAAAAAGAAATTCAGAAATACAAATTTAATTTACAAATAGAAGTAAATGTACAATTAATTTAATTTAAAAAATGAATTTAATTCGCGTGTCGCATACCGGCCAGTTGTAGTACATGTGGCACAACATGTACGTCATCTGCTGCAGATGCTGCGGCTTCAGCGGGGAATCGTCGTCGATGACGTTGTAGTACGTCGGCGCCACCGTGCCCTCACGCACACTCTGCGACACGATGTAGAAGTCGTAGCTGCAACGGAAAATAATAAATAAAAAAAACCCAGGTTGAAATTCCAATTTATTTTCATTTTTACACCAGCTAAAAACCATATTGAGACAAACCAGAATATATTTGATTTTCCACCAAAAATAGTCAGCAATTATTAGCTTTCAATTTTACAGCTGATCTTTTTGTAATTAAAAAAATCACCGTACCGGAACGGGCGGGTGACGATATCGTCCACGATGGTGCCGGACAGCGGATTCAGGATGTTCCCGTTGTCGTCCTTGAAGAAGCGGGTGCTCTCGCGTTTATTCACCAAAATATACGTCAGCGTGATCCTGTACAGGAATTAAAGCCAATAAAATTATCTGCCACAAATCAGCGTGATTTTGTACAGAATTAAAACCAGTCTTACGTGCTTAATATTATTACAAATTACAAATATTACTTGTACTAAACATTAATTCGACTGCTGCGCTTACTTTTTGTCCGTGGACAGACCATTCGTCAGATTTCGCACACCAGCCAGTTCGATCTCCTTAATGTTGCCCAGCTGACCCTCGGAAATTCCTAAATGTCAATAAGAAACATTTCAAGATAAACGTGTTATAAACAGCACAAAATCTACCAATAATTTTCAAATTAACAAACTTCCGTGCCTTCATTAGTCATACGTAAAAAAACAGCTGGAAAACACGTTCCAATGAAAAATGATACTTATTGTTCCAAAAGAATTTACTAAAAACTATTAACCTCAAATTAATAGTTGGTCGCATTCGAAGTCAGTGATTTTAAAAAATAAATGAAAATTCGGATTCTTACCGTCACGGTAAACGAAGACACCCTGCGGGAGGCACTTGTTCTGCGCTTTGAAGTACTCAATGCACTCTGCAAGAAAACAACGCATGGACAACAGCGCGACAACATTCCCAGTTAAAGGAAGTCTTTACCCTTGACAAGCAGCGGAATACACGTCAGAATTTGATCGTCGTCGTCCGCATACACCGCGCAGTTGTAGTACCTGGAGAAGCCCTTGTTCCAAGCCGCCGCGGCCGCCACCAGCGTCTTCTGGGCCATACGGTCACGATGGCAGTCAATGCCGATGACCATCGTCGGAGCAGTAAACGGGAACTGCACAAACAGCGAAGATAAATAACTGTCCAATTAAATACGGAATTAACAGTACGAAAATTTCTCGACAAATTCAGCAGCACAAAGATAAAATGTGATGTGCGTGATAGCTGATTAATTAAATCAGTAATTAATTTCCCCGGACAGGTTCCTTGAAATCAGACACCACCGCAAAAAGCCGTATAAAATTATAAATCAATGATTAAAATTAAAATCAGTAATAATTATCGCTGACGATTCCGGAAAAATAACATATGACAGCAAAATGATTAATTCTGTACAATAATAAATTACGAATTAAATTGTAAAATAAAATGAGTAACTAATTGAAAATTAATTAATCACGACCGCAAAACCTGTACGTACATGCATCGTCCAGATGTCGCCGCCCAGCTTGGCGTTCAGCTGCATGCACACTTTGGTGGCCACGCTCTTGATCTTTCCGGGAGCACCGCTGATCGTCTTTGCCAAAATTACTTGCGAAGCGCCTACACACAAAACCAACAAAAGCAATAAGAAAACAAGCAAATAAATTAACAAACAAAAAATAAAATGAGCATGGGTGAAACTTACATGGCAGATTGCAGCACAGCGTCTCTTTGAAGGCATCGTAGCGATCCTTCGCGTTCGAGGAGAACACAGCCATCACCTGCCGACAAAATCACAATTAAATCCAAAAAAAAATTCCGAAAAGATGTTCAACAGCGAAAACAACGTACTAGCTTCAAATCGGGGCGGTTCAGCTTCTGCACCTGCTCGATGTACGCCTGCGGCGTATCAGCCACAATTTGCCTGCAAAAAATTTCCCATATTTATTGCAACTTATTTTATCACAATCAAAATAAAAAACGATTAAAAAGCGAATAAAAAACACCGTGCCAGCTCATAATTTTTTCAAATAAAAATTAATCGCATACAACAATACCGGTTCCGCAAGAATTCAATCGCAGCAAAATACGACAGATTTTTTTTCCGGTCGTCGTTTTCCCGGTCGTATTTTTCACAGCAATAAATTTCGGTCAAACAAATAAAATACCGCAAAATTTAACAATTAAAATCAGTCGGATTACAAGTTAATTAATTATTTAAATAAATTCAAGAAATTCCACCGGTTAACACTCACACTTTGGGACTGCCGACACGCATGCCCATCGGCCCGGCGACCTCCATGATCTGGCGGACAAACTGCTCCGTGATGCCGTGGTTGGGCTGCGTGGTCAGCACCAGCCAGATGCCCAGCTCCATGGCCGTCTGGAATTGGGCGCCGCGCATATCCGTGCTCCAGTCGGCCTTGATGTGATCGTACGAATACTACAAGCACGGATAAGATTTGTTTATTTTCCATGTTTTTTTTTAACAGCGCTATATAAAATTATCAACTTACATTACGTCCGCTCTGGGAGAGCTGCTGCGGGCGCAGACAGCGGGACTGGAATTTTACCAGTTCGCGACCGTACTGGACGTCCCAGTGCTTCAGCTCTTTCTGGACGTTTTCATTGCTAAAAAAATTAAAAAACAAAACTAAATTTCCCGAATAAAAAACGACAATCTTTTCCAAGCCAGTAAATTAAAAATAATTTTTATGCTGTTTGCAAACTTAAAATTATTCTGAACTGTTTCTGTTCTGAAACTGTTTCTCATCGGTTTTTTCAGGAAATAAATTCCTCAATAATGATAGATGTCTTCTGCAAAAATTTAAAATAAATTTACGTTTCAAAAATTTTGAATAAATCACAATGAAACAAACCAGCATAATTATCGAATAATTTATTATATTAATTTTAAGTAAATTCGTACCCAGTCAGCTTGCGGATGAAGACCTCTGTGGCGTTCTTGCGGCGACCGGGATCCAGTTTGGTATGTTTCGACACCGCCTGCATGATGCGGAAATCAGCCCGAATCTTGTCCGTGTATCCAGTCAAACGGCACAGTTCCGGCACGAGCAGAATCTGCTCCGTGCCGCGTCGACGCAGGGCCTTGTTGGCCGGCTTGACCACCAGCAGCGGCTGACTGGCGTCAGTGACGTTCATGTGATAGCGCTAGAAATGAAAACAAATACCACAAATAATTATCGTATTAATTAACAAATGCGTTAAATGAATAAAGGAAAAAATCAAAAAATTTCTTACATCAGCGAAGTACTGGCCGAATGTAATCTCCTTCTTTTCCCATTTATCGCCCACACGCACTCGCGTCTCGAAAGTCTTGGCCGGGGTCTTGGTCCACTCAACGGCCTGAACGCGGTACACCATGTGGTTGTACCTGAAAATCAGGAAAAATTCACAATCAATTGAAAGAATAATTTCCGTTTAACAATTCCCCATTAAAAAATTATTCTTTAAATCAATATCCGTTCCCACAATTTCGCAGATGGAAAAAGGTCTAAATTACGTCAAAAGCGTGCCCTCTTTCTTTGCAGAATTTTCAGTACGAATTACCAACAGATTTAATAAATTAATTAGGTACAAATAAGCCTGAAAATCTTTCCAAAAAACAGAAATCTAAGAAAAAATTACATGAAATTTTATTGCTGTTTTTTATTATTTTAATGATGTGTGCAGAAAAGTTCGCGAATTATATACAACGTACATGGTCTCGATGGTCTGTCCAACGACGGCCTTGGCCGCTTTCTTCTGGATATTTTCCGGTCCCTGCTCCGTTCGCGCCGCACTGCTCCATGCCTCACGCAAAGCATCACGAGCGTTCTCATTTCTATGGAAAAAAAACCCGCACAATTAACAGTCAACACAGAATTTTTCTCACAACTGAAAACAGAAATCAAGTCACAAATCGACGTACCGAATAATACGGAAGCGCTGATCGACGCTCATCAACACGCGATTCTGCTCGAAAATCCCAATGGAAGTTTCAAAGCCCGGCCAGATTTCCAGGCTACAATTACCGAACGCAAAATACAGAATTAATGAGAATTTTAAAAAAAAAGATGCGATGTGATTTACCGTTTCTGGTAACCTTCCGGCTCCAATTTACCAGCCGGATCGTAGCAGTTATCCTGGATGCGGACCATTTTCAAATCGTGCTCCTGGAATCTAAATACAAGCAATCATCAACATCAACAAGACATACACACGGCTGGTACATTTAAGCTGCGTATAAAGAAAACATTTTACGCGCCTTTAATTGTTGATTAATTTCTGCCAATAATAACAAGAAAATTCCGCAGAAAGTTTCTAAATAACACCGGCCATGTCGAGGTCGAAACACGGCTCTCACAAATTAACTTTCACTTATTATTAACGAATTATTTTTTAATTGTTAATGACTCTATTATTTAAATTCCACTGTAGCGCCTCGAAACACCGTACCGGTTCAACTGGGAATTCAGGATGACCAGCACTTGTGGATTCTGCGCGTCCAGATTGGCCGTGCGCCGCATGCGCACCTTCATTTCCTGCTGATTGAACTCCACCGCATCTTCGCACTCCTATCGAAGCCATTAAAATGATAAAAGAATAATATCATTCATGAAAAACAATCCCACTTTTTACGTCCCGTTTAAATTCATCTACTGTATATTTCAACAAACTGAACTTCCGGTGCGGGTCGTTTATACGGAATATGTGGTTATCTTTTTCCCCATTTTACTCCCCATAATTTCACAAAAAAGACTACAAAGTATTTTTTACACAAGTGAAAAAGCAGAAAAATACCGAATTATCTACACAGTGCAAACTGCAAAGATCCAATAATTTTGCGACCAATACATAATTTCCCAGCAAAATTCCGATTTAAAACGTTTTACTGGACGAAAATAGAAGCGCTTACCTCGGTGATTAATTCGGCGGCGGTTGGGCCGACGTACAGGACGCTGCCGCCGTCGAAGATGTAGGCGTGCTTGACCATCTGCTTCTTGTCGGCCCAGCGGTGCATGATGCCGTAGCGCTGCGAGCGATTGCCGGGCTGTGGATCGAAATCCACCTGGTACTGGTAGATGACGCCCTTCGTGCCCACCTTCACCTCGATGTAGTTGGAGTGCAGACGGACCACATCACCGCCGCTTCCTGCCAATACAAGCACGGTTAAATCTCTTACAAAACCTTCCCGATTTTCCAATAAATTATTAGCCAATGTGTTAAAATAGTAAAAAAATGCGGGATAACTGCCCAGATGTAGCAACTACAGAAACAAAATAACATCGAGCATTAAATCATGGATTAATCGTTTAGCGAATCAAGAAACAGTTCACGAAACTAGCAGTGAAATAAACCATACTGTGATTTAAATAACTATTAATAAATTGCGGAACAATAATTATTAGTAACTTTAGTAGTTACTTTACTACTCAACAATAAAAGGACAGATAAAATGTACGAAAAAAATAAAACACAATTAAATCATAACTAATGAATACGTTTGATTTTTTAAAAAGAATTTCAAAAAAAATAATCAGTGTAATTTTAAAGCAAAATTATGAAAATCAGAACAACTCAGCCAAAAATGCGTGATAAAATCATAAAAATTAAAATCAACATCATGAATTTTAAACCGTTCTGTGTTAAATTCATCCAGAAAGGTTACCTTTCTTCTCATCTTTGACGGCGGCAGGGCGCGTGTGGACGGCGGTATAGCGCAGACGGTCCTCTTCGGCGCGACTGATCCGTTCTTTGCCGTCGCGTCCGATGTATTTTCCGTTCCCTTTACCCTTGCCGCGGCCACCCGGAGGACTGGGTTTATCCGCTACAAAAAGGCAAAATTTCTTTTAAATTTTGAATTTTGAAAATTACTGCGTTCCGCGTTGAGTTTACACTGTCTAAATCTGTTCAGCCATCGTTCAAACAGCAAAACAAGGTCAATACAGCGGATAAATACGGCGCAACCGACAAAGGGTCGGATCTCAAGCCTAACCAGTACACCATGTATACAGATACACACTGGCACGCGCCACGTTTTGAATTTTCAGTCTAGGTCAACAACTTTCCGTGAGTTCTCTCGTTCCCCCGAAGTTTTCCCGAATTCTACAGGATAAATTTTCGATGAACCATGCGATTTCTTACCCAGTGGTGTCGGGTTCATCAGGTCCAGCTGGCGGGCTTGCTCCGTAGCCGCTGCCATGGCATCCGAGCCCGCAGAATTGGGTTCGCTGCCCGTCTCCATTGGCGCTGGCGGATCGGATTTGGGCTCAGGTGGCTGCTCGGGATCCATTTTTCCGGGGCTAAATGGAACGGACTAATCAAAAATGTGAAATTTTACATCCGAAAACCAAAGTTTTGATGTAGAAACTGACGACTATTGCACGAAAGCAGAGTGGAAAAAATTAGCTCCTGATAAAACTGCAGAATGAAAGTCACGTTCTTGCAGCTGCAAGAGTTTAAAGTGGGACTGAGCGCAAAATCAGCAGGGCCTGCAAAAAAAACCGACAAACAAGCAGCGATCGGGCGGCCAGTGGTCCGGCAGGGTACGCAATCGGATTTGACCAGCCGGTCATCGACTTCAGACAGAAGCATTTCATGCCCAGCTGACGGCTAGCTGAACGATCCGGTTCAAAATTGGAGCTGAATCTGCGCTCTTGCTCTTTGTTTTGGTTTTGACAAAAACAAAACACAGAACAGACAGAAGTAACGAGTTGGCGCCGTTCTGTCTCTTTGTTTTGAACTTTTGATTGTCGCTCCGTTGTGTGTTTTCGAGCCTAGGCGAAATTCCCCAAAGCAGATAAATCCGTTTTGAATTCTCAAAATTTCTGCCAACGTACTTTTTCGTTTATATATCGTTATTTCTTTAAAATAATTTCCTCCAGCCTGTTGCAACTTGCAAGTTGCAAGCCGGAAGCAGTTCTTTCGGCCTGCTGTCTGCCTATTCAGTATTCACAGTCAGTAATTCTCGCAATTTTTTTTTGGCGGTGTTCACTGGAAATGTAAAAATTTATTTTAATGTAGCGTGCCACGGCGCGTGACTGTCTGCGACTGAAAAATTAGTTCAACGCGGCAACGCGCCGGCACCGGCACTGCAAAGTGAGAAATCAGTTGAACTGATTTTCGTTGGAAAATTAGAACGGCGAAACTGGAAACATTGAAATATGACTGGGATTTGGGAAAATTATTATTAAGAAAATGTAAAATTTTTAAAATTGTTTACAGGGCTGACTGTGAGTGGCCAAATAAAATCGGTAAAAAACACTTAAACTAAAAAATTAGCAAAACGACTTAAAAATTACTAAAAATACTTAAAAATTACTAAAAAATTACTTGAACAATTTCGCTTTTAAAACTAAATCACTTAAATTCTTTGTCGATTACTTGTAAAGTTGTACATGCTGCATGCATGCTAAAACTTTGTTAAGCAGAACCTTCGTCTCGCTACGCTTCCATCCGGAAACGTTGACTTGTCAGCTGCAGACTGCAGTCGTAAATCGGTAAATGCGCGATGCGTGAAAATCATTTATTTTCATTTTAAATTCAGATAATTTTGTAATTTTGTTTTCCTTTGAAGCTTTTTGTCAACTTGATCTTTTCATGCTGGCACCATGCACGAATACACCAGCCCCCGTCGCCAAAAACACCAACCCACCCGTATCTTCCTGGCCAACACCTTCCTCGCCAACATCTCCCTGGATGGCAGCCATCGCGATACGAAATACCGTGCCCTGGTGGAGCTGTACGAGAAGGACACAGCCAGCCTCTCCTCCACCCCCACCTCGCAGGACGATCTCTCCGCCGCCCCGGACGCCCTGCCACCCTCTGCGCCGCCTCCCACGGGGGCCACCACCCCCGCGTCCCTCCTGCGCCCCCAGTCCCTCGTGGCCAAAGTCAGTCGCCCGCGGCGGGGGGCCGGGGTGCGGCGGAGCAATTCCATGCGCTCGGGACACAGTCGCAAGAGCACCTCGTTGAGTTCGTCCTCCCTGGACTCGTTGGAGAGTGAGACGCCCGGGACGACGGATGATGAGGAGGGACGGGATAAGGAGTTCCCGCTGAAGGAGTTTAAGGGGCGACGGGGGCCGGTGCGTAATCTGCGGGAGGAGTTCGATCAGGAGCAGGTGCTGGTGGAGGCCAAAGCCAAACGGGCTCGACAACAGTAAGCAACGAAACATTATTTTTTGAATTTCATTTTTGATTAATGACTGAAATAAACGCATATTTATTTTTGTATATTTATTTAGACATGTGCTGCTTATATATTTAGGTTTTATGAACTCCCTTACAATTTTATTCTGGTTCTCGTTATTCAGAAACCTTTTCAGTCAATTATTTTTTAGTGTTATTACTTTTGTTGGCTCTTTTTAATCTTCTTTATATCCGACTTACCTAATTCTGTGCGACATTCGTGAGGATATTTGCAGCTTGGTTAAATTGAAATTTTAAAGTTTTTTTGTTGTTAATGTTTACCCGAATTACTCTTAAATTAATAAAGTGCGCGCTTAGTTTATTTATTTTAATTTGCATTTTGTGTCGTGTTTAAATGCGAAACCATTTCTTGATGGATGTTTTTATTCTGACTGGAAAATAAATTTGATAACCTCTGGAATCTGGATTGATTAACAACAAAATTGTGGATATTTTTAGTTTTTGATGATACAGAACAGAGATGTGTTCTTACTTGGTGTATCAGTTTTTTAACCTTATTATTTAACCGTGATTTATCCTCTTATTTGACTTGTTCGTTCTGGTAGATTTTTTATTTTATTGAATTTGCGTTACAACGCCGACGTTGAGTCAAACAGTGCCGTAAATAGTCTGTAATTTTTTTTATTTGCGCAGACAACGCCGGTCTTCCTCGGGATCGCACTCCAAGTCTGTGAAGACGGATTTCTTCCTGGGCCGCCGGGAGAAGGCCTCACGCACCATCAGCGGCAGCAGTGCGGAGTCGGCGCTGGGGCGGGCGGCGACGGTGCCGCGGTCCGGCAGCATCAGTCCGCCGCCCTCGGCCGGCCTCCCCTTCCTCTCTGCCTCCCCGCCCATCATCGAGGCCCGCGATGACTTCCGCGAGCACGACGTGGTCGTGCCGGTGGAGATGTCGGTGAGTGACGCACTGGCGCATCCCGGGGAGATTCTGGACAATCATCGCGGAGTGGTGACGGAAAAGTAAGCTGAAATTAGTACTATTATTAATTTATCGTTATTCGGCTGTACAATGCGTAGTTTTTGTGGCTTCGCAATTTTTCTGTTCATACACCGCACGAGTATGTAATAATTTAGTACGTGCTATATAGTATATAATTAATTTTGTTTAGTGGATGTTCTTTTGTATGTGTAGAATTTCTTCTATTTTTTTCATAAGGATTTTATATTTTTTTGCCGTGATTTTTTATTTAATTAGCCATCAGTAAATGGCTGATGTCAATCAGTTATCCTTTTTAATAAATGTTTGGACAACAGTGAACTGCTGTTGTGCTACATACTGTACGAGTAAGGTTCCTATGATCTCCGTACTCATAGAACACCTACTGAGCGACATAAACGTCATAGTTGTATACGTAGAACAGTGGCAATCGTCCCATGCAATGGATATATTCGTAGATTGCGCTCGGTTAAAATCTTGAATTTGTACAAGCGATAATAACGTGGAATTTTCATTATTTGAAGTAGTTTTTCCGTCCGTACGTAATGCGGCTGGCTGGCCAGCCGCATTTATGTATTTTTTTTATCACCAGTTTATCTTTTGGAAAATGCAGTGCAGTGTTTTTTGGCTTAAATGGATACCGTGCGGGTTAAATTTTTTACTTTTGTTTTCGATTCTATTAAGTACCATGGAATGATGCTGTAAGAGTTTAATCTTCCTGCGGCAATTCTTCCCTTCGTATTTACTAGGCGAGAATTCCGCTTTGTCACCACTGTGAAGAATGAATGGCCGGTGGGACAGTATTCCTATATTTCCAAGTACAAACTGGAGCCGACCATCGAAGAGTAAGCATTATACTATCACGCCAATCTATCATAAAATTTAGGGATGCATTTCAGAAAATTAATTTAATTTGAATTCAGTGAATTAGCTAGTTAATTTTGATTCTAAATGTAAACTTTGTATATTTTTGTAGTGCTTCACTTATATTTTTCATTGATGTATGTTTTTTTATTTATTTATTTTACATCTTAAATGTTTTTATGCCTTCTGTAGTTCCATTGCAGAACCAGCGAAGTGGAAGTCTCCGGTTGAAAATTTAATTTTTGCCTATTTACTTGTTATTTCCGTATTTTTTAAAACTTCCTTGACTTGCATATGTAATATCATCCATATTTACCGGGTCTCCCTTGGGCAGAACTAAGGAAAAAGTGGACGCTCCCGGTCGGCTATTAATTAGCTAATTAAGTTTTATCTTAGAAAATAATAAGAAATAAATATGCCAAAATTTAATCTATTTATTTATTTTGGATATTTAATAATCTCCATATTTACCGGCTTCCCAGTGGAGAACTGGGCATTTCCGGTGCTAAATGTAATTTAAATGTGTCAACTTAAAATTTAAATTTTTTAACTCAAATTTAAGTTTTGGATATTTATTCAGCATTTTATTAAGGTTTTTATTTATTTACTTTGAATATTTAATATTCTCCGTATTTGCCATATTTCCCTTGTGTAGAACCAGTGAAAAAGTGGACGTGTCCGGTCGCACGGTGACCTACCAGACCCCGCCCGACTCCTTGATGCAGCGGTTTATCTCGCAGTTCACCCGCAACAACTCCATCAACTCGGTGGCCTCCAGCCGGCCCAGCGCCCCCTCCCCCGACGGCCTGCCCCTGCCGGCCTCCCACCAGCGTCCCACGCCCACCCTGCGCCGTCCCTGGCCCTGGCCGCTCAAATCTCGCTTGGCCGCCGTCGCCGCTCCGCATCCGCCGCCCATCCGTCCACGCCGCGTCAGTGTCGGTGCCACCAGCATCCACATCGACACGGAAGCCGAGGCGCTGGAAAATCTGCTGGGGATTAAATTGTCCACGGATCCCGAGGATGATCTGTCATATGAGCATTTGCTGGTGAGCCGGTCAACGGGAGTAAATAACCATTTTGACGAAATAGTTAGGGGAGACTCAGGGAATACTGTACGTTTTTGTTTACCGAAATTGTCGGTATGAAATGCTGAAATAAATGGGCTTTCCATGATTCCATTGGTTAAACCAGGTGTGAGTACTTAATTTTCATAATTTTGAAAGATTTTTTTTAATATCTTAATTTTCTTCATTTGAAAAATAATTAGGCTAATTTCTGAACCTTCTTAATTTCGGTGTAAATTTTTTTTATAAATTTTGACAAATTATTTTATTGTTCTTCCTTGTTCTATGGGTATTTATTCATCAATTTTATTGGTATGCCGTCGAGGGCAATAGATAACCATTTTGGCAGAATAGTTTAGGAAAAATTCAGAAAATATTGTTCGAATTTTTTTAACCGAGATTATCGGTAAAAACGGCTTTTAAAATATGCGTTTTATTGGGTTTTCTATTGGGTAAATCAGGTACGAGTGCATCGTATTTTTTTGATTTTGTACTGCATTGTGCTAGATACTGGAAATTGTCGAGATATGTGTAGTGTAATGGTTCTACAGCCTCCTTCACTAATACTAGCATCCATAAATAAATATGCTGATCAGTAACCGTGAGACTGGATTGATTTGATTCTGTATTTAATACTTTAACTTTTTTCCTGGATTTTATTGTGTCTCGTTGTCCTGTTTTCATACCAGGACTTATGCTCGTAATTTTAAACCAGTCTCCACTTCGTTTAATTTGTTCGAAACAGTTTTAGTTGAGAAATACACTGCAGTATTTTAAGCAGTGCGGATTTCACTGCGTTTGTGCTCAGTTTTTCGAGAAATTTAGGAAAGCTTTCTTTTTCAACGAGTTTTTCTGAATTTCTGAATTTTCCAGCGAAAGCGGTTTGCTTCCGTTTATGATCGGAGTTCTTTAAGGCGTAATTTTAGCTAAGTAATTCCTTGCATTATTTAAAGCTATGCGAGTTTCACTCCGTTTTTGTTTAGTTCTGGAGAAATGTAGGAAAGCTTTCTTTTTCGACGAGTTTATTTGGATTCAGTTCCAGCGAAAGCGGTTTGCTTCCGTTTATGATCGGAGTTCTTTAAGGCGTAATTTTAGCTAAGTAATTCCTTGCATTATTTAAAGCTATGCGAGTTTCACTCCGTTTTGTTTAGTTCTGGAGAAATGTAGGAAAGCTTTCTTTTTCGACGAGTTTATTTGGATTCAGTTCCAGCGAAAGCGGTTTGCTTCCGTTTATGATCGGAGTTCTTTAAGGCGTAATTTTAGCTAAGTAATTCCTTGCATTATTTAAAGCTATGCGAGTTTCACTCCGTTTTTGTTTAGTTCTGGAGAAATGTAGGAAAGCTTTCTTTTTCGACGAGTTTATTTGGATTCAGTTCCAGCGAAAACGGTTTGCTTCCGTTAAAAATCCAGAGTCATTTAAGGTGTAATTTCCCGGTTTTTCTTCCTGTTCCCACAGGTTCCGTTGGCGTGGGGCGTGGATTACATCGGGGATCTGACGCAGGAGGAAGCGCAGAACCTGCTGAACACCGGGGAGATCTCGGTGATGAACAAGCTGCTGGTGATGCCGGCGCATCCCAACTCCTTCGACGAGGCCTTCGCGTTGAGTAAGCTGTGGCGCCGCGAGGTGCACGAGTACCGTCCCAAGTACTGCACCGTGGCCTCGCAGGACTCCAGCCGCTCCTCGCAGGAACAACCGGCCAGGGTGGAACGGCATTTCAGCGTGGACGCCTACAAACCGGGCGTGCTGGATGATCCCGAGTGGGAGATTGCCGTGCGCCGGCAGAATGTCTATCTCGAGTCGTTTTTTGTAAGTCTACGGTGTTGAATCTATTTTGTTGGCTTTTTCTCTACTAAAATTAGTGACAAAATTCGACGGACGTTACAATAAAACTAAACAAGGAATAAAGAAAATAAGTAGATTAATGTAATTAAAAAAAACAATTACAAGGCTAATTTTTTTATTTATTATTTGAAATTTATTTGAGGGTCAGTGTTGATCCTTAAAAAATCGCGGTAGTAGTAAGGGGCAAATTAATATGTCGGTGTGTGTCGTAAATTTCGAAGCAGGACAAATTAATGTGAAGATAAATGGGGTATTTAAAATAGTACTGCGCTGAGTATTTTAATCTAATGGTTATCGTTTGTTTACTTACCGTGTATTACACGAGTTCGAAAAAGCGCGAAAAAAATGAACAGTAATTACTTTTTTTTTCGTTATTCGTTGTAAATGAAGCGATTGTCTTGGGATAAAGTGCGAATAACAGAAATAATAAGAAAAGCAGAAGTTTCTAACAGGAAAGAAAAAAGTCACAGTAAATCATAAAGAGAACTTAGAGAAGATAGTAAAGCACAAGTGGCAGAACAATCGGAAATAGATATGATTTTTCTTTGGTATAGAGCTCGGTGATATCGAACGATCTGGAGCCGGATAAGAAAAAGGACGCACTGAACGATCTGTTCCGCAGTAAATTCCCGCATATTCAGCTGACATTCAGCAAGTTCAAGTCGTTGAAGCGCGATATGCAGAAAGCCTGCACCGATCAGGTAAAGTCGTTGTCGATTAAGTAAGCTAAAAACTGACGTCTCCATTATTTTTGTTTGACTGATAATATTTATTTAACTGATGGGTTTTCTTAGATTTTAATGTGTGAATTTATTTCTGTTTCTACAGCTACGAGTACAAAAAGTAGGGAATAGTGAGTCGTAGTGTATGGGCTATTGACCGCGTCCCTTTAGTCATGGTACCATTGTTATGAGGTATAATTATCAATAAAATGCAGAAATTAAACAGTTGATCATCCGAATTTTTTCTGTCTTTCATATTGCGTTGTTTTACGTTTTCTACATGTTTGTGGGTTAGTGCGGTTATTTGGCAGCGAACTGAAGGCTTTTTTTTAAAAATTGAGATAATTAATATTATTATTAGTGCATGTTACAGTATTACTGACTATATACAGTAATACGCATTGTTATTAGTGCATTTTGTGTTTTTATTTTTAATGGATGACATGTTGATTGAATAGCAAATTCGCCTGGACCTGGCGGTGGTGGCGCTGTCGTATGTGTACTTTGAGAAGCTGGTGCTGCGGGGCTTCATCAACAAACCCAACCGGAAGATCCTGGCCTCCGTCTGCGTGGTGCTGGCTGCCAAGATGAACGATCTCTCCAAGGAAGAACACCGCCAACTCTTCCACGTAAGCGAAACGTTAGCGACATAATTGTTGTATTTCACTTCTTTCGGTCTATGATTGGCGGTCACAGACAATTTTGGCATAGAATTAGTCCGCGAAAAAAACGGTAGAAATCAGAAATTACGAATTTATAAAAAAATGTTGAATTTAAAAAATTTATTAATTTCATTGGCGTACTATTATCGTCGTAATTTTGAAATTTTTCCTACAAGCGATCGATGTAAAAACAGGACATCAGTATCGGAAACTTCTTGAAATTGTACATCACACTGCAGATCTCATCATCAGGTTACTCTGTTTTAGCCATCACACTACGATACTACTGTCCTCGAACAGATTACTGTACTGTTACCCTGCACTTGCCGAAAGTTTCACTAGTGCAGCCATGCGTACGTTGTACGATCGCTATCACGATTCAGATAGACTGCATACAACAGCTAACTGCGCACACTGTACGAAATTTCGGCAAGTGCAGGGTAACAGTACAGTAGTAAAATGTTGACGCGGACTATGTCAAATTTTGAATAGTCTTCGTTTCGAATTCTGTCGTAAAGAAACACTTTTCCATTTGAAATCAAAACGAGCAAAACTGAGGATTTTTTATACAAAACTTTTTATATAAATATTTTTATATATAAATATATAGATTTATTTGTATATATAAATCTTCCCTAACAAAATTAGAACAAAAAAAGTCGCCCTGGATGCATTGAACACAACAGGTAGTTGGGTCATATTGCAGAGTATCCAGGCACAGCTGCGCGTCGAACGCACGGAGCTGAACGCCTTCGAGTTCCCGGTGATGGTGGCACTGGGACTAGACCTGCACGTGCCGCTGCGCTTCGTCCGCTACCACTACGACCGCCTGATGGCGCACACGCAGACCTTCCTGCCCCCCGTCTACCAGCTGCCCCTCCCCGATCCCTGTCCCCGCCCCCCGGCCCGCCAGCGCCTCAGCCTCACCCTGCGCCCCATCCGCCAGATGACCTTTCCCACCTTCACCACGCCGCCCGCCCACCGGGTGGTCAATCCGCGCCCGGCACCCAAAAAGACCAAATAATGCGGTTTGAGTATTCTTGGGTGGAGTGTTTTTCCGACGTCTGTGATTTTCATACGTTTGTTTTTGTGATGTCGAGTTTTGTATTGGTTGTCATAGATTTCCGTTCAGCAGAAGAGATTTTGTGTTTTTTTAGCCCATGTTTTTAGCGTTTTATTTTAAGAATGTCAGGAAATTTGATGAAAATTAAGCGATGATGATATTGCGGTTAGTATTGACTTGTTGACGCAATAAGCAATAAATGAGCAACCGTTTTTTTTATTTGAAATACTGTAATGCATCGCGCGACTCGGTGGGAAAAACTGGTATGCAGTTTTAATATGAGAATTATGCTGTACTACGTAGTATATCATTCACACATTACCGTACGTTCATACAATTTTCATCTACCATGTTGTAGGAAAGGAAACTGTGATATTGTAAATTAAGAAACAAATTGTTTCGAAAAATGTCGCAGCCTGTGCGAGGCATAGTCGCATGTTTATTAATTTTTAAGCGATCGGCCTGTCGTAATATACTTATTACAATATTACAATACACATGCATATTTTTGACAATAAAACACTGTGTAATTTTATACAGGTGTTTCTATTGTGTAGGTGTTTTTGCCTTATCTAACGGCTGAATACGGGAAGGTATTCCAAAGTAATATTCGCAGAAATCCACAGTCATTGGTAGTTAATAATTATCAGGGTTTGACGGTGTATTTGGCTACTTCTCGCAGTGCTAGAGAAACGTACGTCCAGGAAATAATGTACATACCTTATGCCGAATTTGTTCGTGAAAAATGTCAAACTGAATTGAGATGTTGTATTAGGCTTTAAGATTATTGGTAGTAATAACCAGACGTGGGCAGTTATGGAAATTGGACCCATAGTTAGAGTTACGAGTTCACTGACGCGCGCGAGTTACGCTACGAGTTACGCTATTCAGATTAACTGGAGTTATGAGTTATAACGCGAGTTACGCTACAATAAAAATTCATATTAATAATTTTCTTTATGAATCGTTTTCAAGTAACCTCTTACCGGTATTACAGAAAATTGTATGCTGTATTAAATGACACTAATACCAAGGTATATAAGAGATATACCGTGCTAATACATATGTCCCTCTAGAAAGTCTTCCACAACATTCAGCATGTTCACAGTCACACTATAGCCAAAAAAACGCAGAAAATGTTTTCATTGTGAAAAATATAAAGTTTGTAAGTAAAAAGATCAAGGAGAAACGAGATCAACGCTTTTTCGTTTTTTAGCATACTCCTCTTACCTCTATGAGGCAATTTGGCGTTGGTGTGTATGCTAAGTGCAATCAATTTATTTAAAACAATTAATATCTGAGATCTCCTTTCTTCGGAATCTTTTTATTTGCAAACAATTTTTTTTATATTTTTTATGATTCAGCCTGGGCAGATTGAATAAGACTGAAGGCTTTCGAAAAACACCGAACCTGCAGGGGCTACACAGTACGCAGCACAGTTTGCACACATATTTTCCGCAGCCGAAAGACACGACTGGATTTGTCTTTCGGCTACGGAAAATATAATATAGTAATAATAATACTCGTATAGTAATCGATGAATGTACACCGCACATGTGCCGCTGAACCGATGAAAAACCATGTGGTCAGTGCCTATAGCAGTCGTGGTGTACTACACCTGCTTTTATGTGTCTGCTTGTAGAAGTACTGTACTCGTATCGCCAGTCAGTGCAAGTTTTCAACCCAAGTCGAAAATAATTAATCATTTTCAGTTTAATATTTTCTTTACTTTTAAGTTACGGTTAATAATTTTATTGGTAACTTGAAGCCACAGAGTTACGCTACAGTTACGTTGCGTTAAGTTTTCTTCCTAGCGAGTTACGCTTCTGAGTTACGTTAAAACTCGATAACTCGAAAATAACTCGCGTCAAGTTATGAGTTAAGTTATAACTGCCCAGGTCTGGTAATAACTAATGATATTATTAAAAAACACTGCGTGGATCCTTGTTTTCAGACTGTGCAGTGCGTTTCACCGATCGTTGTCGCGCAGTCAGCATTTGCCGAGGTTTTGTAGTGTACGGTACTTACCAAACAGATAGACGCGGAACATATAACGGTCACGTATCTGTTGATGTGATTAAAAGCAATTCCCGCTCTGCTACTAACATTCTAATTTTTTTTCCTTAAGATTTAGACTCGTTTAACGTATTTAATAATTACGCCGGTTGTATACAGTAACTGATACATAGTCTATATAGTTTTTTCAATGTTGACGTAGAAACAATAAGTTTACGAAGTTCGCACTGCGTTCTTATGCGGTTTTCAAGAAATATACACCGGTATATAAGAATTAGGTTGTCCTTTGCCAAAAGCTCATTTAATACGAACCGATATGTGCAACAGCAAGGTCAACCGGCACTGGCAGTGCTCGCCAAGAACACAACAAATATGACTCGATCCGTTCATTCTTTTCAGGGTCGTAATTCGTACTGCCGATCGGTATTGGCATCCATCGTTCGAAGAACCGGGATCCCTTTTTTGTCGCTCGTCTGCCACTGTGTACGCATTCAAGAAATTTCTTCGGAGAAATGCACGAATGCACACAAGGAGCGTTGGGCATTTACTAGTTTCTCGGTTTTAACTGTCACAAAATTTCATGTACTGTATGACATTGTACTGTACTATCTGCATCGTCAGAATCTGACGGTCCGATCGCCTGGCTAACTGGAACTTCTGGAAGTACAGAGTACTTTGTGGTAATTTTAATTTTTTACATCCGATGTGTTCCCTTTTGCATCCTTGGCTTATATTTCGACTTGTTAAAGTTTGGTTCCTTTCGGTAGCAATAAAAACAGCGATAGCCACATTAATCAATAATATCTGAGAGCAGAATCATCGTTCATTTATTATCAACGGTTATTCGTACAGATTACTACAAGCGGTTATTATTATTATTATTATTACAACGGTTATTATTATTACAACAATGATTATTAATATCATTACAACGGTTATTGTTATTATAACAATGATTATTATTATTACAACAATGATTATTATTATTACAACGGTTATTATTATTACAACAATGATTATTATTATTATTATTATTACAACGGTTATTATTCTTACAACGGTTAATCTGTATTAGCCGCGACAGCTGATTGTATTACGGTGCTTTTAAATCAAATTTTTTGGAAGCTACTGAATTGCACTGGTCAATGCATACAAACCGGTTCTGTATGTAAACAACGGCAGAAATAACCGAATCTGCACTAACCGCGCTACGATATCTTGATAACATGGTGTGTCTTTATTGCATTAATCAAATACACTGCAAGTCAAAAACACTTTTTGTATTGATAACATTGGTCTGGTAAACTCTGGTTTGCCTGATAGAGAACAATCGCTACAATTATATTACTGTGAAATAGTGCGTTCTCGGTTATAGTGATTAAAGTTTCTTGGTACTTCAACGAAGGAGCGCTGGCGCAACGGTAGCGCGTTCGACTCCAGATCGAAAGGTTAAGGGTTCAAATCCCTTGCGTTCCCCTTTTGCTATTTTCTGACCACGTCCAGTGTTCCCGAGTGTTTCGGAAATTTCGAGCAAGATCGCAATGTCGTTCTGCAATTTTTTTTCAAATCCAATACAATATGAAGGTGATAATCGTCAGTGCCTGCAACGTAGTGAACTCATCATAATTATTTTGCTTATAATTTTGATTAAGCACATCATAGCTGAAAATTGTAAGCTTCAGTATAATCAAAAATGACCAGTTTTAATTGAATTCATCATAATGTATAATTTCCAGCATAATTTTCAGTTTAGTTACTAGTATCACTACTGCAGCGCAAAACCAACGGCTGCTGAGTGAAGACAGAACAACTGCTTCCATCCTCTGACTAAAAGACGTGCGTCGGCTTTGCTGCAGAACTTCTGGTCAGTGGGTCGGTTGGTCTTGTGTACAACGGCAGCAAATATCGGCCTAACTGTAAGTTGGGAAACTTTTTTGCAGCCGAAAAGGCGGACTTTCTGGAAGACCACAAGCCGGTTAAAAGCGGCCCAAGGGATGCACCCAAACGAATTCGTACCGAAGTGCAGGACTCCTCGAACAGTGTGGTCCGCATGGAACACCCCAATCTCCATGGATAGCAAAAGCGCATGGTGTTACAAAGCATGATTAGAACCCTTCTGGGCAGCATAGTCGTGTGCGAAATCGTTTTCATATGGCGCAGTGTAGCGGATAAAATTTGTACAGTGATGAGGCTGCTTGAACTAGCACCGGCTAGAAGATTTTTCTTCTGGACAGTTCTTCGTCGACAGTTGAGATTCTTTTTTTCTCGATAGCTTAAGAGAATAAGTTACGTAACAAAAATCATATCGTTGATGTATCACTTCAAATGAAAACTTGGCAAAATAGGGAAACTTACTTTTGGTATGTCCTTTGCAGTTACCGGAACTGACGAAACTTCCCACCGTTGTCGCTTGCCGGCCAACAATTACAGTATGAATCAGGTACAATTTTTCCTTCCGGAAACAAATCGTACATACAGTTACAGTATACCACTTCAAACATAGGTACGTATTTCCGTAACATTTGTCCGGCTGCTTCTATTTAACGCAGATAAAATTGGATGTACAGAATAATATTATTGCCGGTTGCAGCATAGCTTTTTGCCTGTATAATACGCTCCTTTTGGATAATATGTTTTACCGAGCGCCTTCAAACAAAAATCTGCATGAGTACCGGCAAGGAGACAAGAGTGAACTGGCTAAAATTGCTGCAAGCAACGAATTATTGCGAACGGATATGCGGAGCCAATCAGTTCTTTCCATCTGCTACGCTGAGCATCGCGGAAATACTGAGCCGCGAGCTCACCTGTAGGTGTTGTGTAATCTGGTCGTGTGGGCTGGAACGCAGTATTTGGTATGTGCGTTAGACACGTAATCGGTCAAAGGAATCAGGGAAAGTGACTTGGTACGTGCATGGGAGGTACCAAGTATCCGCACGCCACGCGGGATATCGCTTTCGCGCATTCTAAAATGTTTTTAGATTATTTTATGATAATATTGTGTGGCCTTGTGATTTGTACGCATACTTTGGTGAAAACCGTTTGTGCGGTGCAGAGCAATAGCTGGAACAGAACTCCGGAAGTTTAAATGCAAGCAGATGGACCTAACGATCGGTCCATAATGAAACTTTTGGTACAACAGTTTGCGTTTACACTTTTGGGAACCATATCTCACCAATAAAATGCCTTCAGATTGTCGTTCCTTATGTTAAGTTATGTAAGAGTAGTGGTTTAGAAAGTGCATAATTATCGTTTAAAGCGCCATTCGTTGGTTTATGGTAACTGAGTTGATTAAACGAGAATGCAGTCAAACGAGAGTGATGTTATGGCATACTCGTAATAATGATTACATTGCTGCCAGTACTGTACTTCATTCAGATTTTTGTATTTTTTCTGCCCGTATCACATCACAAGCTCCACCATCCAGAGTGTGTTATACCCATATCAGGGTTGCTCACCGGGAGCACAACCGCAATGATTCAGTACTTCTAGCAAAAAGGCTATTCTACCATCCCTTTTTACACTCTTGTTTTTTCTTTTCGCGATCTTCGGGTGCGCCCGTCGGCGGCATATCCGACGGCGGCACGCACTGGGCCGTGAGGGTTTCCACTTTAGTCTGCAGGAAATAACCGTCCTTCTCCATGGAGAGGGTCGGGTACTCCGTGCGAAGGACCCGTTTGGAGGCATCCTGCACTTCGGTGCGGATCCGTTTGGGTGCATCCGTTGGGCCGTCCTTGAACCGGATTGTCGTCTTCAAGAAGTCCGCGGTTTCATCTGCACATAGTACTAGATAAATGCACATTTGAAAAAGGTCACCTTTCAATTTACCACATTCCACATTCATGAGAATTAATCCCGCAGTTCTGTACTTTACAGTTTCGAACATGATTCTCTTAACCGTCGAACCAATAAACCAGCTTAAGTACCGAAATTCTGCTGGTGAAACTGACAGCCGCTTTGAACACACGATAAAAATCGGTTTTCGATACCAGAAAACCGGTTTTCAGTCTCTTATTCGCACGGATATATGTATGCTTAATGCTTTGATTGCAATCAATCGCTAGGTTGCACTTTATGCCATAATTTGCGGAATATTGGAATACTGTGGAATATATTATGAAAGGGAATAATTGTACTAAAGGGAATAATTGTATTATCGCGCGATAGATTAGAAAAAACGCCGAAGAAACCGTACCCGTATCGGGCACGAACCATGTGGTCGTGCACTGGTACAACGTGCTCTCCCATTCACTGGCCGAATTGCCTTTGGTCCACCAGTACATCTGTCGGTTGCGAATTCGCAAGTAGAGATCCCCGCTGCATTTTTGCGTTGCGGTGGGCGCAATCCCTGTCGGTGGATTGGCCTCCTCCGGGCCTGCCGATTCCTTTGGTTCTTCGGTCGTTCTGTGACATTACACACACAGATAATCAGAACTGAACTGTACCAGATATATAACATCACAGACTCTAGTTACTGCCATTCACAGCATTGGTACTAAACTTAAAAAACGGATCTTACAAAACCTTACGTGGTGGCCGGTGCGGGTTTCGGGGTCTTTGAGTCCTTGATTTGCACCTGAGTGACTGGTGGCCTTTAAAAAGTAAGAAAAAGGCTCTGTACTTCAAAGTTCAGAAAATTTCACGTTTGTAATAAAAGGTCATATACGCTGGCTGCGGTGCCCGCGGCGCTGGCGTCGCCGGGTTCTTCTCCTCCGGCTCCGGTGTCGTGGTAGCTTTGGCTAAGGGATTCACCGGATGTTTGCCCGCATCGTCACTGGGCTGGCTGAGTTTCAGTGGCGCCGTGGCAGTTGCTGAAAGAACAATTCTGGATAGCCTAGTTAGGGTGTTTAATTACGCTCAGTAAAGCAATGACAAGCTCACCGTCGCAAATCAAACGTCGAATCTTGGCGGCATCGCCTTCACTCATCTGATCATGCTGCCCAATCTTCACGCCGGTTTTAGCCACAATGGTGGGGATTTTGGGGTCCACGGCGGAGAAGACGTAGCCGGGATGCAGAACGGAGTCGTAATCGTATTTCGGTAAATAAGCTATTTCGGGAGCGTTCTTCTCGAATTCTTTTTTACGCGCTACAACACAGAGTGATAACAAATTTCGTCGGTCTTAACTTTCTGTTCAATAGGCCGCTTCTGCAGTTTTTTGGGATAATTTGTGACCTTTACGTTAACAGACAGCTAGCCTCGCTAACTTAAGCAGGAAAACCCATATTTAAAATCATTCAATGCGACAAATGGATGAAGCTCAACTGGTTGCCTTCTTACCGGGAATGACGTTGTCCATGTTGATGGAAATATAATTATCCCGATCGCTGCGCACGTGCTCGTGCGGGAAGCCCAGCGCCAGCATCAGCAGCCGCTGTACGTTCCCCTGTTTTCCCTGGAGACAGTCGCTGTTGAGGTAGAGATTATGCTCGATGCGGGCCGACGTCTTGTCGATGCGCCGTGTCCCCCCAAATTCACCGGCACAGTTTTTCTTATCCTTCTTGATCACGATGGTCGGCATATCCGGCAAGGAGTTGTCGGCAAACACATCGGTGGCCGACTTGAAGGTGATACACTCGGTGGCGGTTTCCACGCTGGCGAAGGCTTCCAGGATCAGCGCGGACATTTGCGGATCACCTGAAATCAGCCATTTACATTTAAGTGCGTTTCCTGTCTGCCTTTCCTTTACAAATTTACTAGTAGTATTTACTATAATTGGCCTTTATAAGCGTCTTAAAATACGTGGATTAACAGCATTTTAAAATACGCTTTGACGCTTTCTTTGTTCGCCGGAATCTTTTTACCATCGACGGTGTCGTCAAACTGGTAGGCAAAGACGACTTTATCATTATCCGGGGATTTGTAGAAATCCGTGGGGAGCGTTAACAACGGACACCCGGGATTCTTATCCGCATTACAGCCGCGCACATCTTCCTGGAATAAATCCAGCGGTGCCGTTGTTTTCTGCAGCGCTCCCGATGTGACGGTCGTCAGATCATCGGGAGGAATTAACGCTTTCCAATCTGCATGGTTAGTAGTATTAGGTTACATTACAGTCGGCTCATATTGGAGGAACTGCTTTGTTACCTTGCGGGAAACATGTTACACTGGATGCAAATATAAGCAATGCCGAAAGTCCGATGTTGAAGCGCATGTTTGTCTAGAATTTTTCGCATGAACCATGCGGATAAAGACAGCGGCTGCTTCGCACGTGTATCTTGGTAGAAAGTGGCTAGATTTAACTTTAACTGTATAACTGTAAAGCCGGCAATGCTATACTTCATATTATTATACAACGTACAACAAACTTTTCACCAGCTGTTAATGAACCTGTTTTTACCATATCCCGGTTGGTCGCCTACAGCGAGCAAACCGGTACGGCGCCGCGATATATTTTTTTGTATGCAGCCGCTCTTTAGCGCAGTACATAACGTTAGTGACTTAACAAAACTCACTTTTTATACGACGGTGGCTTCCTCGTTTTGGTCGGTACAGTGAAATGATACAGCAATTTAATTCAGATTTTCACCAGCTTTGATGCATTACGAAAAAACTAAAAAGCCGAGAATGGTCTCGCAGTCAAGACCAATGCAGAAATAGACAGGAAATTACTGTACTGATCTCTAATTAAATAAATAAAAATCCTTAGAGTTTTAATTTGCTAATAGTAATAAGCTGACTAGTAACGGATACGGTAATACATAAACACCTTCCAACGGTTCGTAATTTGTCCAGTATCTGAATCAGTGGAATGGAGCAGCGTTCGCACCGCTTTAAAGCGCAATGAAAGCTTTATGCTTTCCAGTTAGCTTTTCTGCTAGTTTTATTAAACCAGCCAGAAAACTCCGACGGCGGCACACACTGGGCGACGAGGCTATCCCAGCGAGTGTATTCCACGTAGACGCCGTCCGCGGACTGCGGCGGGTACTCCGTGCGGAGACGCCGCGTGGATGCTCCACCGACCTCCGTCTCTATCTTCGTCGGCATCACCGTCGGGCCGTCACGGAACGACCATGTGCCTGCCAAATAATCGGACACCGAGGAGCCTGTATTTTAACCAAAATACATAGGATCAATGTAAAAGTCGCAAACGCCGCAACACATAAGCCTGGAATAGATAAGGATGCTTCGCTTTTAATGTAGAATGCGCAAGAAACCGCTTCTCTGTTTAGAACCAGTACCGGCTCAGTGTTTGTCGAAAATACAAACCTTTTTAATCCAGATACCGATTTTAATTAAATTTTTTACTTGGTTTTGCTCTGTTTCATAAAAGCGATTAATCGAGCGGAATTCGGTTGATCGGGCGTACTTTGTGGTTGCAGGTACCATTTGGTGTTGCGTTGAACCATGGTATTCCCCATTTTGGTGGTACCGATGGTGTCCAACCGAATTAACGTCTGCTTGTTGGTCACGCGCAGGATACTGCCGTTATTACACTTTTGTGTTGCGGTGGGAGCAATGTGGACAGCCGGAGGAAATGGCGATGTCGTTGTGAGAGCAGTGCTGGTGTTAGAGCCCGGAGTTACCGGCGGCGGTTGTCGACGGTCTTCAGCCGGATGGCTGCTGTTCAGTGGAGGTGTTGCAGTGCCTGTGAATACAGTAGTATCATCCGGACATTCGGGCGTTTTTGCTAAAACGATTTGCGAATGCGCACTTTCAGAAGTAAATAAATTTTTGCTTTCTGTAGCAGGATGGTTCATATTTCATTGTAGGAAGCGGATTAGAGGTGCAAAAACCTTCTGGGGGGTTAGACATACGGAAAATTTCAAAAGGAGCAAGCGCATACCGGTGTACCAAACGCTCCATTACAAAGTCATCTTTTTCGAACTGATTTGCACATAAAAATCAACACCGCTTTTACATTAAACTGGAATTTCATCATTCTTCTTGAAATTTAGAATTACTTATTTCAAACGATACGAAAAAAATGTTTCGTGTAATAGAGTCCATCCTAAGTTGCATTTTAACAGAGTCCATCCATGCACCGTACTGTTCTAATCATTCTAAGTTTCGGTGTACTGGGTCAGTTCCCTATGGCGCCACATTACCTTCACAAATCAAGCGCCGGATCTTCATCACATCGCCAAAACTCATCTCTTCGCGCTGTCCGATTTTCGCCCCCTTTTTTGGCACGATCGTCGGAACGGTGGAGTCCACGGCGGAGAACACCTCCCCGGGATGCAGCAGGGATTCGTAGTCATACTGCAGGTAATACACCGCATCCGGAGCGTTCTTTTGGAATTCTTTTCTCTTCGCTATACATTGCACACAACGATGGGCATTGCACACTTGCACTGCACACAACGATATTTCGCAGTAACCAGCCTGTATTAACGTTACGTACTGTTCTAATCATTCACCTGGAATGACGTTTGGCATGTTGATGAAAATGTAGTCGTCGCGATCGCTGCGGACATGCTCGTGCGGGAAACCAAGCGCCAGCATGAGGAGCCGTTGCACGTTGCCGGTTTTGCCTTGCAGGCAGTCACTGTTTACGTACAGCGTATGTTCGATGCGCCAGGCTTCCGGGTCGTTTTTGCGGGTGCCGCCAAAGCTCGCCGCGCAGACGGTTGCTTTCCTGACAACAATCACCGGCATATCATCCGGCATGGATTTCTCGCTGAAGACCTGCTCCGCCGGCCGGAAAGTCACGCAGCCCGTACGTGTTTCCACGCTGACAAATGCTTGAATTATTAACGTGGACAATGCAGTATCATCTATAATAAAGTCTTTTTCTACAGTATAATAGTGTATCAGATTCTGAACTCTATGTCTTCCGCACAAAAAAAACACTTCAACTGCATGGTTCTACTGTCTACATAAGACGCCCAGTTTATCAATTTATCAGCCCCTCGATCACGCGGCCACTTGCATTTAATTTTACCCCGATACTTTATTTCAGTTTCGCATATCCACAGTCTGAATGCGAATTACCCAGGACTTCATCGTAAAACTGATAAGCGAAAACAATCCGTTGATTATGCGGGGATTTGTAGAAACCTGTGGGTACCGTCAGCAGCGGGCATGGGGGCTTCTTCTCCGCATTACAGCCGCAGAGGTCTTCCTGGAAGAGCTGCAAAGGGCAAGTTGTCCCGTTATCGCCAGCGTCGAACTCTGCCAAGTCGCTTTCATCTATAATTATTAGAGTGAAAGAAGTGTTGTATTTACTGTGCATTTAAAATGCCAACAGCAGCAGTGCAATTTTAACTGCTTACTTAAAGTAAGTGCCACTTCCGTTAATGAGGTTGTTCCAGGTATCAGTAATACGACAATGGTCAGTATACCATCGATATGCATGATGGATTGGTATGCCAAATTGGCTTTCATTTTTATTTGAAAATGGTAAAAAACAGAGCAGGCATGTACGTCTCTGGCTGCTGTGTATGCTGTCATGAAGTTTCACAAATTGTTGCTGGATTAGTCATGCAGGAGAGCTTGCACTCTGTAGCCTCAAGGAAATTATTTTGTCTGTTTTAGAAAAATTGACATGTCCTCGATACATCATCACATAAATTTCGCTCGACATTGTATTCAATGGTCGTCTGCTGTGTTGTTTGCAAAGAAAAAAATGTGCATATAGATACAAAACCGGTTTACAACTGCAAATCTTTTTGCTGGAAACACGACTTCGTTAAATATGATAAAATTAAAACAACGAGCAATTTTTGATAAAGCTGTTGTTCGAAAAGAACGAAGTCCATGCCTTCTCACTTTTCATTTAGAAGCTGAAGCCTGAAAGCAGGATGTCCACGCACTGATCTAAAGAAGTTGAGAGGGAATATCAGCGAAATCTGTGAACTGATTAGAATCCGTAGATGCGCCGCAAAAAGCAGCGGGACGATAGGATGGTACAAATTCAGAGCTTATGTGTACTGGGCATGGCTCCAAATGGCAAACAACCACGAAACTTTAATTGTGGCAGTTTGGGATACCATCCTATCGTCCCGCTGCTTTTGCGGCGCATCTACGGATTCTAATCGGTTCACAGATTTCGCTGATATTCCCTCTCAACTTCTTTAGATCAGTGTTACCAAATGCTGGGTGCGCGACTGCGTGACCGGTTAGACTTAAATTCGGAGCTTATAAGTCTAACCGGTCGCGCAATCGCGCACCCAGCATTTGGTAAGAATGTGGCGTTATTGTCACGGTAATGGCCTGGACTCCAAGGGCCTCGGATATCCACATTACTATTGCTACAAAATGCAAAGAGACAGGGAGAACAATCGACGCATTCCCTGAAATTCTGCTTGCTGCCTGTTGTGAAAACTGCTGTCGGTCTTGCTCCACCGGCGTCCCTTGGCGTCGCCTGTACCCTGCCGCAGTGGATCGGATCTAGGTACTTGTATCTGGCGCAGTGAGCAGTCGAGCATAGTCTCTATTGTGCTCTGCTTGAATGACCCATCTCTGCAATAATTACATAATAGGGGTACAGAGTAACATTTCTGTCTGGCCTCTTCGCTTCTATAGCGTAATCAAGCGTTCTGTAAGGTTTAGCAAAAAACTGATAGTCTGATAGAAAATCGTTAGCGATTAATGGCTTAACGCGGCTTAATTAATGGCTTAACGTTAACGTTACGTAATCTAAGTTTTAACATTTTGGGTCGCATCACCATCGTTTAACTGATGCGTTAGTAATTACTTTTACAGTTACTGTGACCGTTTAAAGACTCTTGGCTTGTAATTATCGTACAGATATATCTGTACATATCACACAACCATCTACACCTACCTATTTGTGTTACAGATCGCAGCTGTCATTAGTATTACTCACCTTCCGCTGGACGCAGGCGGCTGGTTCCCAAAAATAAGGTAAAACGCTCAAGTACTTCGCACAATCATAATACGAGTAATATGAGAGGTATCGACGCGTACGTACTCTAATGTTTTGCATTATTTTGTCACCATATTCCATATTGCGCATTTCGATAAGACTGAACTGCTAAAATATTGTACACATATTAAACAGCTGCGCGCAATATAATAATTGTACAGACTCTGTACATGTACCAATGATGTACGGTACATCAGTGATGTACCTACGTTACTCGTAGAACGAACTGTGGTATGCATGTACAGTACAGGTACATGTACGAAATAAATCGAACAGGCATATGATAATGTTATTATGGCATTGTATTATGAACGTGCGTTCGCGCTTTCCCATTTTCCACAAACAAATTTTCGAAATAATGTGACGAATACATAATAAAAACCCAGCTATTTTCTAAAATGAGTTTTATTAGGATAAATTTTTCGCCACCTCAGCTGCAACTTCGCCCCCTTTATGCTATCGCCTATCGATATCGGTGTGCCGTGTGCGCCTCTATGTACAACTTCTGTGTTGCTGTTTTTCTGCGTAAGCAAAACACATCTTTTGTGTTTTCTTTAGAGTACTGTATTTACACGATATTAAGGGACAGAGAAATCCCAGGACCGCCCGCACTAGGCGTCGGCTCCATTGATGTCAAAGGAACCGACAACTAGTGCGGGCGGTCCTGATTTCTCTGTCCTTAATGTACTACAGTAACAGACTGAGCGATGGATACCCGACAGCAGCTGCAATATTTGGATGCGATGCTTAATTTTCCCCCTGAACAGAGCGCCTGGGAATGTAACGCGGGCAACACTGTCCTGGTCAATCACGGCGACGACAACTGGTGTTTAGCGTACATTCAGGATATTCACGAAGGCAGTTTCCTGTTGAACTACATCACGGATCGCACTACGACTCGCTGGGTTCACTCGAAGTACGTCTGGCCGCATCTTCTTATCGACTGTCAACCGGCGGACAACCCCGTTTACGTGGCTGTACGCAACGAATTTAGCGGACGTTTCGTCTTCCGTTCGGCGCGTTTGGTTGCCGTTCATCAGCGCGAGAACGATGATTTCCAATTGTACCATGTACGGTTAGATATCGCGGGAGACGATGGTCAGCTAACAACCCTGTGCCGGGTTGTCCATCATTTTCAGCTGGTGGAACGTTTGCCGGGTGGTGACGAGCCGTCGTTTGCGGATCGTATCGCATTGCCGAAGTACGCTAAATTTCAAATGCACTACCCGGCGCCAGGTCCGGACGATGTATTCGGATGGGACTATCAGCGTTGCACTATGTACCGGGGCGCTTTCTGGAACGTGATCACTGGACTGTGCCGATACTATTTACAAATCAGTACTACTGGTACTCGCTTCATCCTCTGGCAGACCCGCGATAATGGAAGGGAGATACAGGAGCGCGCTGATTCGTACGGCAGAGGATTCTTTAGATATTCCAAGAGAACCCACAACCCCTCGGAACGGAACGAGCAACTGGAAGTCGTCTTTTCAGGTACAGTAGGTCAGACCGTACTTAAGTTCCTACATAAGTGTAGAGAAGTAATAACATGCTCGATTTGTCGATTAGTATGCTCGATTTGTCTTAATTTCTAGCGTTTGTTTCGATCTCTGCTGGTAGTACGAGTATTTTGAAGAGCTGTTTATAAAACAAATAATGATATTACGGCATTTTTCGTATTCTGATTCTGGGTTGTCAAAAGTTTTGTTGTAAGAATCACTTTCATATCTTCAAATACTGTGTGCTGAAATGCCTCATACTATCACACTAACGTGATCTAGGCCAAAACGGCAGCATGCAGTCATGCACCGGTAATTAAGGTCTAACTGTTTAAGCTATGCGCAGGAATTTTTTATTTTTAGAAATTTTCGGGTAGTTTATAAATCGCGTTATTGAATATTTAAAGCTAATTAAAGCTTAAGCACTAACCATAGATGGCTGTACCTTTATTAAGTATCATAATATGAGTACCGTACAAACTAACCAAGGCACATTTTCCCCCTCCAAATTCAAAAAATTCTCGTATTTTGTAAAATGATAGTGTACTATTGCAGTATGCTTAAAAAAATATTTTTAGCTGCCATCGTCAAGGGGCGTGGCCAGACAACAATTAAAAGTTTGCATACTATCGCATACTGTGTAATGCAGTGCAGTACAAGTTATTCGTAATTATTATGTTAACTTTTTCCTGCAGCACCGTGGACCTTTTGCAGCTGTCCGCTGTCGTGAAATGATATAAAAGAGCCCTACGAGCGTCGGCTCGCGCCATTGCTGCCTGAGTACACATTTTCGAAAATTTTTCATCATCGATTTGTGTTGTAAACAATAAGTTGCGCAAAAAACTTTTTTCTGCTAATAAACAAATATGTGCTGTACTTCATAACAAATTTTTGGAAATGTGCACACAGGCAGCAATGGCACGAGCCGACGCACTTGAGTTCTTTTACCTCATTTCACGACAGCGGATTCTAGTCATACTAAAAATTTGATTAAGTTAAGATTTCAATATCCTTTGACACAAGAAAAAGTTACTCGCAAGTGCCTGACAGATGTGTTGCCAGAAGTCGTTTTCCCTTTTTCGTGTTTTCTTCCCCGTTCCTCCACACTTACTCACAAAAGCGTGACATCGATTCTCCATAAAATAATCCGGATCGGTGTTTTTTCAAGTGGAGACATGTAGATTTGAGAAACGGAATTGCTTCTGAAATCAGCAAAATTAAAGCGAAATTTCCCCTGGTCAAGGATTCGAAGCCCGGAGTCTTCTGGTCAACAGTCAATATGGATAGCATTCTATGCTGGGTTCTCACCAAAATTTGCAAAAAGCATTCAAATTATTTTGTGGTTCAAGTTAAAGTGTATGGCGACACTCTGACCGAAAGCCGATTAATACCGGAATATTTTTTAGAAAGAGAACACACCTGGCTGAATCGACGTACGTCGACGTTTTTCGCATTCTGGACATCTTCACAAATGGATTTGAGTACAGGATACCAGCGACACGGTATTCTCGGCGTTGTTCCACATGATGGAAGCTGCTGTAAAATTATTGCGTGATTATTAGTGTTGTTACACAAGCTTGTACGCGAGATGAATAAAAACTAAAAAGCTTTAAAGTTTTGTAATGCGGAACAACGCAGTGTCTCTGGTACCCTGTACGCGAATCTATTTGTGGAAATATCCAGAATGCGAAAAATGTCGAAGTATGGATGGGAGCAAAAGATTTTTCCGCTAGACGATTGCAGCAACAGCAACCCTGTTGTTGGATGTCAGCAAGCCAAGGCCTTCTTCTCATAAGAAATTCATAGTTTTCCCGCTCAAATGCACATTGGTACAGCACTTGTGTAACAATATTAACGAAATTCGTCTTAAAGGTGACGCATGCCTAACCGAAGAAACAGAGTTTTGCATTACCGATCTTGCAAATGAAGTATTCACGATGATATTTCAGGAGCTGGATGCACAGTCGCAAGTGCGACTCAAACGGTAAGCGGCATTAATGAGTTCTAAATTTGACTGAGCGCACTAATTCCGAACGGACTGCCAGAAATCCTGAAATACAGTAGAACTTCAAGGGAAATGGCTCGATAAATAATGTCGTATGTCGTGTATATGTCAATGTCGTATATATCACCTGTGGCACGTTTCATACCAAAGAAAAAAAGTGAATCGTTTTTCTGTCCTTGTAGTCACAGTAGACATCTGTATACATGCTGTAGACACCCTGTAGACCTATCGGTAGTCATCTGGGTTTCTTAGGATGTATACAGCGTGTCTACAACGGTGTCTACAGGTTGTCTACGGATGCCTACCGCTGTATACCAGGCAGCCCTTAGGTTCGGCTCGATGTATACACCGGTCTGCCTGTATACACCGGTAGTCATCTGTAGACAGCCCGTAGACACCACTGTAGAGTCATAGACATACTGTAGTCAGCTGGTTACTTAGGCTTTTTTGGATGTTTACAGGGTGTGTACAGGTTGTCTACAGGGTGTCTACCGATGTCTACCGGTGTATACAGGCAGGCATTCTTAGGTTCAGCTGGATGTTCTGCTGTATACACCTGTAGACGCCCTGTTGACAGCCCGTATGCACCATTGTAGACATACTGTAGTCACCTGGTTTCTTAGGTTTCTTAGGTTTTCTTATGATGTATACAGGTTGTCTACAGGGTGTATACTGGTTGTCTACAGATGACTACTTTGACTACAAGAAGACTTTGACTATTTCTACAGGGTATGCAGACTGTGGTACGCCGTCAGTGAATGTTTTGCTGATACGAACGTCCATATCACACTGAATGTCGAAAATTTCCACACGTTTCCACACAGCTGGCATCGGAATCATTATCGGTTTGCTGTGCTACTCGATAAAGTTCTGCACAAGCGTATCAAAGTGGTGTCACTGGTGGTTAATGCCGATCCACGAGTCAGCATAACGGATCATGTGGACCTCGTCATTTCCATGATGCAGTTGCGAAACATCCAGAACTATATGATCCGTGCGAAGAACCGGAAAATTACTATCCCCGTCAACTGCGTACCGGGAGAGATTGCTTCCAGCATTTTCGCCGGTTTTCGGGAGGAAGCCGGAACTGTCGGAGAAATCCAGTGTTTGCAGTGTACGCCGACGGATGCCGACCGACAGAAACTGATGGCGGATACTTCCACGGTGTACAGAGACGGTCTGCGTTTGCTGCAAACGTTAAGCACACGGATTACGACCGGCGAGGAACTGGCCGAGGTGGCGGCCAGGTATACATTGCCGATTTCAGTGCAAAATGTAACAAAGAGCTATCCACAGCGCACTTATCTCCTGCGCATACCCACTTCAGAGTCCTGAAGTCGACCAAGCGGACACAGCTGACGAATACCTAACTTTGTTTGCTGTTTTGCATTTCACTTGTTAACACGAATACTTACCTGCGTGGTTGTAAGCATGTTTCCATCTATGATATCAGATAAATAACAATATTCGTTTGCCTCTGTTTGGTTTTTAGCAGTGAACTCAAGGCCGAGCTGGGCAAACTGTTTTTCATTTGCATATGCACAAACGTTTTCTCAGGCCGAAAGCGTCCTGAAAATTGTATACGATGTGGTTGGAAATGAATAAATATTTCGTGCTATTTAGAATATTATGCTTAGACTAATACCTAATTAGCCATAATTTGGTTGGTATTTATGCATTTATAGCATTTATGCCGTCGTTTATGAGGTTCTCGTTCAACTGCCTATATATTTATGCAAAATACCCCAACTAAGCCAACTTAAGGGAATTGTGCCGGTACATGATACCAAATTCGTGTACATGCATGAAAACTTTCACTTTCGCGCTCTCCCAAATACTCTCTGCATGGTTTTAGGACAATCTGCAGCGAAAACTGCGAAATCATTTGTATTCGTCGGCGTGAAAACCGTTTGCGCGCCCAGCATCCGACTGAGGATTGGTGGCTGCAAGAAAATTCTGTGAAGTTCAAAGGCACGAAGGTGTACCAAAAGTGAAAGTCTCATTGTAAGCCGATGCACTTCAGATTTTGCAAGAAGACGCACATTACCATGAAGACTGGCCTTACACCGAACCAGCTATCCACATTCTTTTTATTTTTAAAATTCATTTCAAAATTTCAAAAACAATGCATACGAAGTTACAGACATTTGTCTGTACATAGTAGAATTTCATAAAACAGCAAAAAAGTGCTTGAGAGTGCGCGAAAGCGAAGCTACAGCACATGTACGGTGTACCAACACTTTCCTTAACCGATTTTATTAATGCAAGGTTTTGTTCATGCAGTTAGTTTCTGGCCACCCATTTGGCAACAATACAACGTAAATTCTGTGTTTCTCATACAATTAAATGTAGTACGACCAAGCATATTCGGTGCTCAGTGGCTTATCAAGGACACCTTATCATGCTTTTCCTTTGACATTGGCCATATAAATAATGCCGATAATCCCCCTTTTTCTGGACGACTGTATATCGGCATGTTGAGTGGCCAGCGCAGATCATTTTGTCCACTGGGTCCCACCGAGCACACCCCCAATCTTTCGGCTTTCTTGAAAACGATGAAAGCCACCATGGGGTGAAGATTTTCCATGTGAAGCTCAAGCTCGTCTGTGATATAATAGTAGAGAGGAGAATTTGCTAGCATGGATTCTTCTTGCACGACACTTTTACCGTATTCCAGATAATTCAGTAAAAAGACATTATAGACTACGTCGAAGAAACGTATATGCTGCAGTCGTTCATATTAGAATAGGGAGGAATTTTTGTAGCACCAACTTTCTTCCAAAAAACGGCGATTAAACGCTGCTGCTGTTCCGATAGAACGTAGCTGTACTGGCGTCGACAGTTAACGATGCCGTATTCGCGACCCGGCGAAATAACTCTATGCGATGGTTGGTTCGCTGCATTGGGAATAAAGGACGTTATAACTTTGGTATGCACAGATTCTGCAATGTGCAAGCTATCTTTGAAGTCCTTAAAGTAGATGAGGAAATTTCGCATTTTATCGGAACGATCCGAAGCAACAATAACGGTCCAGCCTATCCATGTATATTTCTCTTGCAATTGTTTAGCCAATAATTCGGCACATTCCTGATTTTTCTCTTTTGGCTGCTTTTCACAAACATCAAGGAAAAATTGATCAACCAGTTTAAGCAGATCTGATTCCGGCCCAGTAAAACATTTGGAACTTGATAATGTTTTGCCTTTTTCCAAAGCGTCCAAAATTTGCTGTGCCCTTTCGCCGGCTTTTTTAATGTCTTCTTCAGCCATTACAATTTTTTCCTTAGGGTAGTTCTCCTCCGCTTCTAATCTGGCGTTGTGGTAAACTACCATGCAGAGCAGCATTTTCATAACATCCAGTGCTATGCAGTCGCACCATTTCTCGAACACCGGATAATCGCAACCGTCGATAACTGACTCAGAAACGCGCCGGTTACTTCGTTTCCGGTGACATCGTGAAGTAAAATGCTGAGCAACTCTTTTGGATTGTTTCGCTGGTACACTTCGAAAAACTCGGATCGCCGCCCCGGGCGGGTTATATCCTCGGCCGCTGCCATTTCTTCCATTGCTTCGCATAAAAGATGAAGCCCAACGTCAATGTTTCTATATGTTATCAGAGCGTGGATCTTGGAGACGTCACTTTTTATTGAATTCCTCGCATCACTAACGGCATTTTCCAGTCGTCGTTCAATTTCCCGCAGTTCCACTTTCTGATCAAACGTCAGCAAGTACCATGCCGCGGCTTCCCTGGCATCTTTGGTATCCGGATCACTACGATCCAGTGTTTCGTTCAGTTTCTCCACTGCCGCCTTTCCCGCAAGCAGTGCAATGGTTTTCCTGATCTCTTTGGCAACAGCAGCTACCGGAATAAGAATCACTGAAGCCATTTCTACTATGAAAATATTTAGTGAAGAAAGCCAGAGACTATTAAATAATGCTTTCCACGTGCTTTATGATATTTTGTCAGTGCGCCCGATTTTTTGTATATGCTACTTGATTTAACTTCGTTAAAGCAAAGCAGGATTAAGTTTTCATCGGCGAACGTGACTACGCAACTGCACCCATCCTTTCTTTGCGCGCATGAAATCGTTTGGTCACGATAGTACTGCATAGTCTACCGTTGCATAGTACTGAATAGTCTGCATAACGTAATACCGGTGATTCGTTTTTCAGTAGGCAAGAAACTTGCTTGTTAGACATATTGAAAGATGGCGTGATAGCGCGAGACAAAGGCTGCAGAAAGCCGGCGGCTTAACTTTGCCACTTTCAGCTTTCAAGTGTCAAAAAATGCAACCGGAACTGCCGATACGGTTGTACGTCCAACCCTAATGAATAATACAAAACCAAAACCGTACCAAGAGCCTTTGAAATAATTACGGCGTATATGTATCATAGAACTGTATGCTGTTGTCTGATCCTTGTTAATTTGACTAGGCCGGTAAAGTTCAGTAAACTGCTTCCTGGCGCAACATCTGCTTAGAAGCAGATACCGGTAATTTGTGACGTGATAATGTCGCTCACAATAGGCGAAGAAGCCATTATCCCGCCAGACTGCCATCACTGGTCAAAGCATCCAAAAATACGCACGTTTCCATCTTACACACAGTTTTTTACATATTTGCTTAGCTGTGTGCTGACATTCATACAGAAAAACGAAATCCAGTGTTCCCAGTGAAAATTTCGATACAATATTAAGCCGACTCAGGTGTTTTCGTTTTCAAGTCTGACTCCGGAACACAGGTAGCAATGATCGTCTCGAATTTTGTCCGCAGTAAGAGATTGCCGTCGTGGAGTTTCTGCGTTGGAAAATTAGTGCGGATGACCCTTTTCGACGCTTCACTGAGCTGCGTGTGGATGGCACCGGGCTCAACAGTGGGACCGTCCTTGAACTGCACGGTCGATGTCAAATAATCAACCGTCTCCTCTGTTGAAAAATACAACAACTTTGTGCGTTTACACATCTTACATACATTATACATATAAAGTATAAACATCAGCAAATACAGCCAGCAAAACACTAATCATAGGGAAGTATTCAATTAAAGCGGTATGGTACACCGTGCAGTACCTTGTGGTGACTGAAACCACGTCGTGAAGGCATGGAAATGCGATGTAGACAGTTCCCAGTCCTTGTCCGATTTACCGGTCATCTGCACGTACGATTGGTTATTAATAATTTTCAGGAAGAAATCTTTTCCGCATTTTTGTGTGGGCGATGGCGCGATGTTTGTTAGTGCCGCGACTTGCGATGTATTCGACGACGTTAGGTTTGCCCTAAAGATTAAGCAATTAGATACAGTACGTTAACAAAGGCTAATACAACTTTCAGAAAATTATGTTAAATGAGATTCCAGATGAGGCGAAGTTTTTACCTAATACTTGTTAAATATTAGCTGCACAAAACAAATGTAAATATGACATGTAAGTAATGTGCGTTACAATGCGTACCAAATTCAGACACGTTTTACGTTGTATATGAGTACATACGAAGCAGAAACTGCTGGAGTGCTATTGCCACTTCGCACTTCCGGTGCTTGTCCAAGTAAGATGGTTGAGCTAATCTCTGGAGTTGGTCCGCTGTTGCTAGATTGACTGTTGTTGGCTAATATTGCGGCGCTTCCTGTGATGAAATTATGGAATTTGGTACTCCTACATCAAAGTTCAAAGCGTCGGCAAGTGTCTTTACCTTGTACATCCTGGCTGTTTGCTCCGATGTATTGTAGCAGAAGAAGAATCCACATGGGTTTCATAGCGGCAAGAATAACGGGATGCAGATATGTGTGTTCTTTTGTATTAGAAGAAGTGGAAATAAACCACAGTTTGACAGTGTGCTACTTGACTGAATTACTGCTAATTATTGTTGTTTTTATTAGCGATACCGGACACTTCAGCTTAACGTTTGATATCGATGTTGATAAACAATATTTTCGCCGGAAGGTATTCTAGCTGGGTGTTGTTGTTGTTGTCCCCGCTGTAGCAAATGCTTGTAGTTGTAAGTTTTTTGTCCTAATACGCCGCATAATATGAAGAGTACACCGTGCTAGCAGCGGTACGATGCAATAATTATATTAAACGTAACACGTTTCTAGTACTTACTGCTTATCTACGCCGGAAAACGGATGGTGCAACGCAACTTTTCAGTAGCTGTGTGAAGAGGTACAGTACGGAGTGTACATGATGTAAATTCCTGCTTCCTGCATATGATAACAACGCAATTTGCAAAAAAATTGTTTAATAACGCCAGAATAGCAAAACAAAAACATTATGGAAAACAAACACGTTTTGTAAACATAGAACAAAGTGGCCGAATGTTCGCTGCAAGGGGGTACATAATGCATACATGATGTACCTATCTACATATCTTTAATATCTATAACGGTAGTCAACATTCGTTGAGTCTTCAATAACTTTTGAACGGCTCAACAGAATTTGATGGATTAAGAGTTAAAATGCAGACAATAGCAAAACGACGGTCATTTTGTTCGTTCATTTTTATCCAGGAAGAGTTTAAAAGACAAATTTAAACAGAATGTGAGATAGGAAAGCAGACAGAGAGCCTGCGCAAAAGCTGGAGACAAAGCAAGAGAGAGTTTATCATACAGTACTGCAGAGAGAGTGTGGAAACGTTACAGACAAAAGAAGCAGAGGGAGATTGCTGTTCGTCGTCTGGATAGTGTGCTTAGTACTGCTTATGTAGTGCTCTGCAGGTCGGCTGCCATAGCACAAATTCCTGCTGTGCGGCTGAATGAGTGCAGATTTCACATAAATTCAGAAATTGCACAATTTTTGCAAAAAGTATGTTTAAAAAGAGTCATCCGCGTGCGGTTTGCCGTACTAGCGATGTAGTGTTGTCGTTTTGACTTTTTGTTACTTATCGTATCTCAAGACCCAACGGTCGGACTTATTGTAAAATTTTAAGTCCGTTTCATCTGGAGGTCGAAAACTCACGAAAATGATACGAAAACTCACGAAAAGTCCAAATGGCAACACTACAGCGATGCCATGTGAAGGTTTTTTGAATAATCGTTGGATGTACGCATCTGCCTATATCGGGTAATATATATTTATATAGGCAGATGCGTACTTTGTAAAAAAAAATATTGGTGATGTATTGGCCAAGGATATATAGATTTAAAGTATAAATAAATAAATAAACTGAGTACTGCACATAAATTCTTCGCCTTTTCTCCTATTCCGGTCACTTTTAGTGTAGGGTTTCATATTCCAGTCACCAGGTAGTTAAATTTCCTGACAAAACAAAGTTCATAGAGATGTTATTAACTTTTATAAAAACGGCTTCTCTCATAAAATTTTAACGTATAGCATCAATAAATTTTTATGAAAAACAACACCAATAACAGAAAATCTGAATCGGGTGAGACGCAGAACACTGCGCCTTTCCTTGAACAAACGGAATTTAATGGACTCCTGAAAATTGTGAGGGTGCGTTGGGCTTGCTCAGCTAGCTGCACATTTAGCGGGTAGCTAAAAACAGTACGATCAGCAGCTTTTTATGTAGTGCGCCACATTTGCGGTCGCTCCAGTGACCGGTACCGGAACATGAAACCATACACTCAAAGTGACCGAAATATGAGAAAAAGCGAAGCATGGATTGAGTTATGTAATATGATGACATGCAAAATTTTGTTTTTATTGAGGCACGCCTTATAGTGACCACATCAGACGACAATTTATTTTAAGGTGCGATGATCAGATACTACCTTCCACAACACTGACAACTGCTAAATTTTCAGCCCAGTCCCGACTATGTGCCCTGTTCGGAAGTGCACGGTCAACTAAAGTAAAACTAGGGCGTGCAGAGCACGAACAGAACGTGCAGAGCACAATTAAAAAACTTATCGATTTACTACTCTAATTGCGCGCAGCGAATACAAAGCAACTTATAACTGCAGAGCTCAGTACTTAAACCATAGAGAGAAAAAATTTGCTGCTGTCATAAAATTATATCATTTGATAATTACTGTAGAGTAACCCTGCACTTGACAGCTTTTTCGTACGATATGAGCTGTACGGCACTGTAGCACTGGCAAACGTTCAGCTGGCTCAGAGCCGACTGCACCAGCACTCACATGTGCTGCCTGCCCAGTCTCAGGCAGCACATGTGAATGGTGAATGTGCTCGTACAGCGTACGTCTCTGAGCTATAAAAAAAGCTGTCAGTGCAGGGTTACTGTACAGTAATAGGGTTACAAACATATCATGCAAATAATTTGTGCGTAAAAGAACTAGTACGTTCCTTTTTGCCCTAATAACAGAAACAAACAAAACATTGTTTTGGCGGCTTGCATACATTTTGTCTCAAGAAAAACACTGTACTATGTGGCAAAACTGTGGTAATTTTTGTCAACGAACTGAAGAGCCGTCCACAGCCGTAGGTACATTAGATAGGCGAATTCTGTATTATTCACTAGCACTAGGCCGTTCCTTACCAGGGCACATTTTCCGGGTTCAAAATCCGAAAAGTCCCAGATTTTGCAGAAACGTAGGATACTATCGTAATATCATTAAAAAATACTTTCATCTGCTGACACTCAAAGGACGTGGCTAAACAAAGTTAATTAGTTCGTAACACTACGTTCTAATGCAAAGCACTAGCGCAGTATTTTTGCAGCTGTTTTAGAATAACTTGCAAACCTATGCCAAAACTGCGAGGAATAAATAAACTGTTGATACCCAGGTCTGAATGCAAATATTAATTGCTTGCAAGTACTATAGATGTTTGTAACTAATTCTAGGGATTGAAGAATCATGATTTAACCAGCTAGTCGATCGACAATTTGTTTCTGCGGGCACAAAAGCAAAAAAAAATGGTTGCGACCAGGGCCGGTCCGAGCAATGAGGGGTGCGCAACGGTAAAAAAATGGCCACTCACCCGGTACCCCCAAGAACAATTGCGCCCGTAAAATCATCCCGGTTAGTTAAATATATGGTGAAAAATGCTCTCAACCAGGGAGGTACCGCTGCGCCGCTCATCCGTTTTTAGCCCCACTCGCTACGGCCGTGGTTACGACTGTAGCGTTTTCGCCATTGCTTCTGCTGTCGAAATCATTAACATCCGTATGCTAATGCAGAATAGTGGAGTTTAGCAATGTATGTATTTAGCGAACAGTTGCAGCACAGAAAAATGGCGCATAGATATTAGAACTTTTCCGGTCGGCGGCGCCGGTGGTGGCAGTCGTGAAGATGAACTCTCAGTATCAGAAATACAATAAAGAGTGAGATAGGCAACTTCGGCTACGGTAAAATGGTGGTATTAGAATTCCTTCTTAAAAAGCAATGCCAATAGCCAAAATGTTGTGAAAAGACGGCAATGCCGTGGCAGACGGCAATGCCTGCAGGCTGCAACAATGGCAGCCGAAAAGCGAAAGTCACGGCGTTTGTTCATCTCACAAAAAATATTTCAAAAAACATATTTCAAAAATTTCAAAAGCCTTCCAGGTAGAACTCAGTGATTGCAAACCGTCTGCCAGGTAAGGAAAACACTGCAGTAACCCAAACCACGATGCACAACAAACGCAGTCCACTCTGCTTTACAGCCGGCTGTAGGGTCCCGCTATTTTCCCGAATTCACGCAGAAAAGTCCAGGTGCACAAACAAAAGTGCTATACGTGCTAGCAACAACCTGCTTATCAGGCTGCAACCGCTATTAACAGTTCATTGAACAATTTCAAAAATTACAAATGCTTCACAGTGAAATTCTTTAAAATTTCAAATTGACCAATAAGAAACTGCTAAGTTCCATCCAGTATTTTGCTATTCATTTGGACAAAACGCGGAGCCAGCAGTACAAAAAGTTGATATACAGCTGAGTTTTTTATCTGCAAAAACAGCGGTCCGCACCTCTCTCTAGAATTTTGCTGTTTTGCCGCAAAACGTGGTGCTTATCGCTTCTGCTTCAGTTATATTGGGTTACATTTTGTTTACAAAAGCTATTTGTCGACAATATGAACGAAGCTAAGCACAAAACGTCTAGGGATGACCGATTATACAAATTTCATCATTTATACTATACCACTGCATGATCCCTCGATTAATTTATAGGCTGCAGAAAATCAAGGCCACAAGATACACGATACTAAAAAGTCTGGAAACATAAAACAACATAAGAAACCTAGGAATTAGAAGGATCCTCAAGAAATCATAAAAAATGACAAGAAATCTAAAAAAATCGTGCCGAAAATGTCCAACGGACGAAATGGCGCTGATCGAATAAAGTCTATGGCGAAATGAACGTTGGCTGAAGTGGCTCTGGGTGGCTGAAATGAAACTCGGTCAACGACATTGGAAGCGACCTTTACATACTTTATTTAGAGAAGAAAGTGTATTGCTGTTTCTTCTTCCACTCTCAGCAAAAATGTAACCTCAGTAGCAAAAACACATTGCTGTCCAAAAAATGTCGCTCTAGCAGAATGTCACTCAAGCCATGGACGTTTTCACAGCCTTATATGCTGCGTATTGGTTCTGTCCTTAACACTCCAAAATAATAATTTGTATAACCCCACGACTTCGTTTGAAGTTCCGGTGACGCTTTGTTTAAAATTGTTTCGATTGCCTGAACCCAGCCCCGACAGTGCTGCTCATCAAAGGGCCGAGAAAATTATGAATTTTGCATTTCGTCATCCCATATTATTCCGCCAAAACCCACTTTTTTGTCAAGTCTTAATATATGTATCTACAGGATTTTTTAGCACCTGTTCAAGCCGACCCTCTCTTCGGTAGCTTTGCCTCAAGCCACCGACGAATAGCGGCGCAAATCCTTTGCGCACCCATCAAAACGTCAGCGCAGGCCTGCTGAAAGGTGATTTTTATCCAAGTTTGTAATCAAATTTTAAAACAATTCACCGAATATGGAGCAATGATCTCGGTGATGTTTTCAGTGTTGCTGGCCCGGAAGAGCAAAATAGCATAGTAACGGTTCATACGTACTACATTGTAACATCAACTCATAAAGTTTTACGTTTCATCCGCAATGACTGAACAAAATGCGAAAAAAGAAGAAGAAAATCATTCTTGCTAAACACTGAATAGAAAACCGTGAAAATTAATAAGTAATGACCTTTTGACAGTGCGTCCTCAATGGCAATATGTATCAACGCTTGCCAGAAGCAGAGCAGGAAAACCTTTTGCAATTGCCAAATGCAATGAGGCAGTTTAGAGTATCAAAGATATGACTGGAAGAAAACGAAGTCACTTCTAAGACCGAATCCCAAGATGAAGCTACAGAAGGAAAAATACCTCTGGCAAAGATTTCGGGAATCGTTGTAAGATGCTACATCACTTCAAGAGGGATGTCGCAGCTAAGAATGTAAGACATCCGGTGCGAGGTTGCACCGGCATTTGATTTCCAATCCTCGGGGTACGCCTAAATTACCTTAACCAACCGCGTGGCAAAGCCGTCAGCATGCTTTGCTGGTACTACAGAAGATGGCTACTACTAGGCCGAAGTCGTTGGCCAAGCTTTGGACGCGTTCCTGGACGTTAAAACAGTATGCCCATTCGGCAACTGGAAATTTACTGTATACGTTTACCTACATGTTTTGCGCTAGTATTCTACGACATAGCGGACGCTGATATGCGCACAGTGCGGTGCAAGTCACCATTGACCACCGTTTACTTATCGCATTTTTCAGCGACCATGTTTCCTGTGACAATAACTTCCGGCAACAAAAGAATAAAAAAACTTATCTAATACAAAGGGCGTGCATTTATCCAATCGGCGGTGGGCAGTTCGTTTACCACCACGTCACTGCCAGCCTGGCAGCGCCGGGTGAAACCTCATAAAAAGTTGTCTTACAATGCCAATTTGCAGAATATTGCGTCTATAATATGCTGAATTTACTGTAAATGGCTGTAATGTACCCCATTGCCCGTTGCGATTAGAACGATACCAAGTTTCTGTGAGATCACCAGTGGCAACTATGTCACATATTACAAAATCTTAGTTATGTAAATTACCAGAAAGCGTCAACTACCTGATTTATTCATCAAATTTTTTCGCATCACGCGAATGGTCAGGAGGCATTAGCGACCTCGGGTCACCCGAGACATCAAAAATTGTCCGACTTTGGTGACCACTGGCGAGTGCGCGCTAGCTTTGTGCTGTGCGGCCAAGTTTCGAAAATGGGCCGCAACATATTACATGACTAATAGAATCAATCAATCGAAGTTATCTAGCGGCGTCATCGTACAGAAAAAATGGTACAGTACCCTTTGCCCCTAGTGTTACTTTGACAGCAATAGGAAGGAATGGGTTACTGTATGAACTCGTACATTGTACAGTATACCCCACAAATTCAAATTGGGTCCATGGAGTTTTGCACGGATTGAACTAGAAATAAACATTTATGGGACACAAATATAAATATGCAAACCAAGAAAAGCACTTTTGTTCACGCCACAGGCACCTCCCCTCTACGGCAGTTGGTTCGCATGGCGTGACGTAAATATGCAGAACTGGCATATCCCGCCCAGGATAGCAAAATAAAAAACTACTCCGGAGTAGTTTTTTTGAAATGGCAACTCAGATAAGCTGCTTATTCCAACGTACACCGTGCACCTACAATACTCAATGAAATATGTTACGATCAGGATTCAGGAGGCTTAACAGCAGGTTCCTCAGGTTTTCCCTGATGGTTCTCTCGCATTCTAGAGCTGTTATGTTTGAAATAGTTTTCTTTAGCACTTAACAACGGTAGTCCGTATTGTTTTTGAACTAATTAATCATGTTCTGCTCTTCGTCTTCGAGCCCATCAGCATCTGAGGCTGTGCCTGTTCCTACGGTGATCACAGTTCGTCTCAAGAAAATACAAGAACTGATCGAAGCATGAAGAGCAAGTTAATTTTTTTATTTTAACAAACAAAAAAACTAAAAAAGCTGTAGTTTCCACAAATTTTAATTTAACATTTTAATTTATTAGTACCATGCTTGAACGGAGCTACATTAAATGCGCTGGGAAGATTTGAGTTACAGACTGCAGTAATATGCTTACAGTAATTAGTGAGTAATATGCAAGTCGGAAAACGGAACACAAAGCTAGAAAGTGCGAGTAAAATACGCAACAAAGATGGGCAACGGTTTATTGGCTGGTTCCGTTTTGTTTGTGACGTGAACAAAAGTGCTTTTCTGGGTTTGCATATTTATATTTGTGTCCCATAATTATTAATTCTCCTACTACTGAGTAGTAATTTTATTCAATTCTACAGTTCGGCAAGATGGGGCGAGCGAAGCGAGCCCCCATCTTGTTTTATATCAGCACCAACCGGACTTTTCACTGCAGTACACAGCAAAGTTCTAGTCACATCAGGATTAATTTTAGCAGTAAATGTCAATAGCAGACGTACCCGATATAAGTAAAGTATTAGTGCACATCTTTGTTTCCAAAGTTAACAGAGCTTGATATGAGCCTGATATGTACATACTGTATACGTTTGTGAACTGTAAAAGTGTATAATAATGGGAAAGAAATTTGGGTTTCTCTATATTAGTAATGAATCGTACATGGAATTGAAAGTACAGATGCTGACAGATGCATACTTCTATACGTAGTAAGCTCACCTGGCTGTATAATGAAAATTTTCTACGGCATTTGTAAAAATTACCAAGGTCAGTAAACGCCACAACATGAACAATTACCATCGTTACAGCAATAAAATAAGCGAATGACACCCAACAGGAGCGCTGCTTTTATTACGTGCGTCGTCAAGTGTTCAGTGGCTTGCACGGTCTTCCATTTATTTGCCTGCTTACAGATAGTATTATAATATTGTGTTTACAACAATTGCAATGATAAATCAATACTGACAAGTATATTACAAGCCCTTGCGTGTTATAACAAGAGAGCAGCGTTCGACAAAAAAAAGCGGAAATTAAGCCAACGTTTCGTGTACGAGTACATTTGTGAATAGGATATTACCGGCATTGACGTAGATTACCCCCGCTTCGCTATTGATTAATTCGCTTGGGTCCCGCGAAATCCAGCCGGGAGAACCAGGATTTGTTGATCCCGTTTCTCGTCCTCTTTTTCTATGTTTTTCAGAGCGGTAAATGTCATGCTTGCGCCGTCGGTCGCTTTCCATGATTAAAATTCTGCATATCGCGGTATAAGCGCCGATAATTCCAGCATATATTGCTGTAGTAGTGTAGCTGTACATATGCGGTATATACGATGTATGCTGTATATATGTGTCACGCACAGTTTATCAATGTAACCGCGGTCGCAAGAATCGCGATATAATTTACAGCAAAGGCGGCTTTAATCTAGATTAGATCTACAGTTCTTCTGCAATAGCAGACCTTCCTTTTTTTGAACCCGTATGCGTAGATACTGATTATCATGTATAAATTTAGGAGGAATATGTTCTGCTCTCTGTATCGCGATGCGGTGTGGGCTTATCAGGAAATTTTGATGGAAGCCATGGTGGTTCTGTGGTTAGGCTGTCATTTGTCGCTGAAGTTCGGGACACGGTTCTTTCCGGACTGGAAGGATACCCGCGTGGACCCCGACAAGCGGACCGATTTGGATCGCTTGCTTCACCTGCTCGGCGGATATGTGAGTCATATCGCTGATTTTTAATTATTTTTGTACTGCCGCAGATAAATATCGGTGTAAAACTGTTTCCGGGAATTGCACTATTCTAATCAATAAAAATAGTTTTAAATCGACCTACGCTCGCTAATTAATGCTAATTATTAAAGTCGGCCGATTTTAATGTTCTACATGTAACACAAACACATACCGTGCGGACACATTACCCAGAAAAGTGTCTTCAGAAAATTTATTATTTGGAGAAATGCAACATGCACTCGTACTTTAAGAACCACAATAAAACGTGATGTTTGATTATGTGGACGGTGGGTACAGTACGTAATTCATATCTGTATCTTCCATTAAAGTATACAAATTTTTAACATGAAAAATCGGTATTTATTTTCCGGGTTTTTAGGAGATGAACGGCTGCGTATGGGACGACATCGTTTCCACCTGGAAGCCGTTCTTCGAAATTCCCGTTTCTCAAGACACCCCGTCCGTCGCCGTAAGCACTGGTCGCGCCACCTTCGCAATATGCGGAACCATGACCTTAGTGGGCGTCACCTGCATCTTAGCACTATCCCTTCTAGCGTCCCTGGCGGTTAACATGTTCTGGCGGCATCCCGCGTGGAAGCAACATCTCCCCTACTGTCAGCGCATCACCGCGTTCTTCGGGTATGACCCATACACCCTCCACCCGATGGATGGATGTATCGATCCCCACATGTCTCTTATCCAGTTTTGGCTGCGCAACATTATTCTGATCATCATCGACGTTGTGTGCTTCGTCTGGGTGTGGTTGGTCTTCTGTGCGTTGCCGATGGTGGCTGTGGCGGGAACCGTTGTGGCGGTGATGGGTAACATTGTGGGTCAGGCCGCTGTTTTTCCCTGTTGTATCGTCGGCGTTTGTCTCTTGACGCTCCACTGCACGGGACGGATTTGGGGGTTCTGGATGCCGGGGACTTACATGGCGTATATTCGAAAAATATGCCGGTACTTCAAATATTGTACCCAACGTTGTGGTAGTATTAGCAACGCAGCCATAGAATCTCTGCACATTTTAAATAGTACAGTATTCTTCAAGGTAATACAGTAAGTTGTATGTATGTTGCCAAATCGTCCAACAACTCATTAAAATTTAAATGGCAAATCCGGTATAGTATGTACTCTTCGGTTACACTTAAAAGCCGGTGTTTCCACCTGGAAGTCAAAAATTGCATTTTTTAACTCGGACTCGCTTTTGAGCGCTATGCCGTCCTATCCCTATTTCCTTCTACGTTTATATTTTTAGCCAATCATATTTAATATTGTACTTGTACAGATGCAGTATTCTGTTAATAATAAATTAAACCGTTTGTAGGTAGTACTGGGCAAAATTATTTTTATGCTGGTCGAATGCGCATATTTTGTTCTTTCTGCGCTAGACGGCTTCCAAACCGTCGGGGTCGCGCCTTGAAGTTGCCAGCGTTGGACAAGACGCCGAGTGCTCTGGACACTCCGCCACCATCACGCGCTGTCCCTGCCGGAAAACTGGAAGATGATGAGCAGTTTCTGTTAAATATAATAAAATTTGTTGCCATCCTGTCGGGTCTCACGGCTGCGGCGATCAACAGTTTCTGTATGCTGCAGCGATTCCCGCGCGCTGCCAGCGCTCTGGCGGCAGTGGAATCGGCACCATCCGGCAACTGGAGCTACTGGATTTACCTCAAATGTACTGAATGCTGCAACAATTATGCAACGGTATAAGCAATGACGCCGGCTGCTGCTCGCTCATGATCGCAACAAATACGCGCTGAAATAAGTTGCTAGCAAAAAAGGAAATGTTTTCTCTAACGGCAGGGTATGCAAGACACCACAGCGATGCTGTCGTACTGGGTGGATCTGGGATATCCGCGGTTTGAGACCGACAGTCCGTCTATTCTACAGCTGTTCGCCTCTACATTCTCCTCCACCGTGGACAGTTTACTCTTTGCCTGGAACTCTACGTTGCTCTTCATGGGGCTTCTGCCATTTATTATCATGTTCTGCATAGACATTTGGGGTGTGGTTTCGTGTATATGGGACAGCTGTTGTTCGGCAAAGTACTCTGCAGTGCCAGCGGCCGGCAAAAACAACCCCGAAAAGTTGGTTCCAAAATTTTTTATTGTAAATTAAAACTAGTAAATCTTCTCTGGTTACTGAACAATTCACAACCATTTTCCGAAAATATTATAATAAATATACATAAACAGAGTATTATTTGTTAATACATATGCAAGTATTTGATGCTATTTGAAAATGGTTGTTAATACGTTAATTTACTGGAAAACGATGCAGATTTTGATGCAGCTATAAAGGAAAAAAAGATTAGTAATTGGCCATCTTCTTCTAGGAATGTTACAGTTTACCAATTTTTGATACAAATATAGCCCAAACTTAAGGACATACTAATTATTTAATACAAGTCTGTAATAATTATTTCAAAATCAATAGTTTATTTTATATAAGTACAGAAATTATGGTAATTAATAAACGTAGCAGCGCTAAAGGCGTTTTCTGTTGACCAGTTCTCCGGTACCGGATTGCTGCAAGGAAGGCCCATGTCGCGCCGGGTCATTCTGCGTATGCGCCTTCTGGGCGGATATCCAGCGTTCCTTCCTGGCCATTCTGACCCAATATCTGTTCTGGATTTACCTGCCGTTTCCTCTGGTGGAGCTCTTCCGTCCGGAACGGCTGCAACTGGTCGATATTCTTCTGATTTTAAGCGGCCGCACGCTGTGGGCCTACGCCCTGTTCATCCACTGGGCCTGGCAGATGAACCGTCGCCGGCGGGACCAGGTCAACCGCGTGCCCAAGGAGTGCAAGTCCTGCTGAAACCGGGAACGTTGCCGTCTTCATCCCCTTCTTTCACGAGACTGTTTATCATTGTCTTTTAGGCAGTTTTTACAGCTTGCAATGCAAAGCTTTCTAATGGGATTCACTGCGATTATTTATTGCCCTCCGCCTACTGTTCCACCTGCACACATTTCAAAGCACTGGTGAACTGCGAACGTGTAATTAATTTGTATAGATTTTTGCTTGAAATTATGTATCAGGAGATTTTTAATTTATGTATCAGGAGATAATTCACGACATTCATTTCTGTCAGTAAAATTCAGCATTGAGGCGCACTGGCGCTGCATAAATTAAACCGTAAGACAAGTTGTTAATTGAGATTACGGAGCTACTGTAGTTATACTGGTGTCGCCAAATTTGTAACAATTAACTGATCTTCAAACAATCTTTAATCTGTACATAATAATCTTTTAATTAAGCGTTAAATGCCTGGAATCCTTTCGACGAATTTACAGTACATTACACTGCTTATGTCGGATGCTCGATCATGCTGTACAGCGCTTCTTGTTGAGTTGGTAAAGGCCCCAATTAGCTGTACGAAAATTCCGTGTTTGCCTGTTGTACCATGGGGTCGTTGCGCCTTGTGTGTCCTGATACGGCATGGATGCGGAGAACATATTAAATCATTTTCAGGCTCTTTTTTATGGGCAAACGATTTTAACTATTGTAGTTGTAAATAATATAATTATACTGTATTTGTAAATACGAGTGTACTAGGGTGTACTCGTATATTGTAAATAAAATTAAACATGCTGCAATGACAAAATTTATTAAACAGCGCACACCTGTCTGCCGGTACTGTTATATTTTGTTGGGATCGCCCTAATTTAACACTGTCCACCGCACTAAAACTATTTAAATTTTGACGGTATGTCATGAACTACAGTATATGAACCGTAAAAATAATAAATAATTTTTCTCGCGATAACTAAAGGTCATGCCCGTTTCACAGAATCAGCAGAACGAACTGACATTTTTTAGCCTTTAATCCTCAAACACAAAGTGACTTTTTACATGGTAGATAATCGTAGCTAAACACGCAGAGGGTTTCCGGTTCTTCCGTTTTTGTCGCACGCATTTAACCGGTAACAAGCAACAAATTTCTAGACAGTTTAAATATTAACAGCTGAAGAGCAGAGCAAAACAGAATCGATAATAAGCAATCCATCGGGCAAGTTAATTACCGTACTATAATTAAAAATTCATAGGCAAACCACAGATTAAGAAATTCTTGGTTACCTTTTAAGCTTCTAGTGAAACATTTCTCCCAAAACAACAAACCCCGAATTGTTTATGCTTCCCAGTTATAACTGGATAACTTAAGGTGGGACGTGAGTATCGGGTGGATGTCATATCTAAGTCGTTAACCAAATTTCGTAACCGCTAGAGTTACAGAATTTGGAACAGCGATGATAACGAACCAAAATATTCCAGTGTTATTAAGCAAACATGGTTGCACATAGGTTAAATTCATGGTTAGTAATTTAAAGTTCACCAGGTCAAGGTGTATGCATATAATGAATAATGAATACTGGGTAAACGCCTCCTCATTCTGTAGTGGTAAGCTGTAGTGGTAGAGTCCGCGTACGTGATTCTTTTCTCGCCTGGAGAAAGTCTTGCACACCCTTCCAGTTAATCCAGGCTCCGCATACCGTTAACAGCAGCAGTATCCCCCACAACTGCAGCGGTTCCGGGACAAGTAGAGCCACCAGTGGATAGGGCAGACAGATAAAGCTGAACAGGCGCCGAAAGGTAATCACCCCGTAGGCGATGAAGCTGGCGGTAAAAAGACATCCGCACGAGAAGGGCCTCTTGGGGCCATTTATCGTCTTCTCCGTGGGGACTACGCTGTCGGTAGTGGAAGAGGCTGTATCCGGGTCGGTCTTGCTTCTGCTGTCGTCGCCCAACACCATTACATACGTCATACTGTACGGTGTATTATCGCATAATTGCGTGCGACTCTATGCTCCAAACCGAAGCTGGACTGTACATCACGGACGGCACGTTCTGCGCCGAACGACAAAAACACCGGTTTTTAGGTAGCCTATGGTGGCTTTATGGTTCAGTTTTTGGTAATCCAGTATCAAGGGTTCCCAAAAGCCATGCTTTTTCGAATTTGTCTTTGCACCCGAATCTATGGGTGGACGTCATACAAACCTGCTTTTGTCTTTTCTAGCCCGACGTCGATACCAGTCAGACCACAAATACATGCACAACATGACGAGGCCAGGTGCACCATTCAGGATATTCAGAATACGCGTCCATCCTCGAAAACACGCGTACCCCGCTGGGGAATAAGTAGTGGAGAAGAGGGAGAGTAACGCGGGATTGCTGGTGTTCCAGTGCGGATAGCCCAAATCCACCCAGTAAGACAGGATTGCCTCAGAGTATCTCATACCCTGTGACGTAGAAACGCATATGAACTACGCGTTTGCCTTACACAGAATATGCTATCTGTGAGCGTCCCAAACGGGTCGCATTTCATTGTCATACTTCGATTTATTTATAACACAAAATGTATCTTTATTGTATCTTATATTTCTAATAGAAATATATTCATTAATATTTTAAAACTTTTATTTATAATAAGAAAATTGAAACATTATCGGTGCGGTGAATTCACATTCTCACTGCATCGATTTACGCGAAGAGTATTTTTCAAATATTTATTATGCTTGGTGTATAAAAATGCGGGATGTTTCAAGGTACTTGTTTACCAGCGGCTACAACCGAAAATTTATACTGAGTGCGATAAATTTAACCGGGCAACGAGGTAAATATCCAGTTACCGTTTTATAATTCTTGCAGTACGTTAAGGTGGCGTTACAATCCCGCTGAGGTGGTCTCCACGACTCCCATGCCTGACCCACCCGATCACCCGAAGAAGGAATGGCCGATTGCAGCGGATCGATATTCAAGGCAAAAGCGGCTTGCCATAAAACTACCACAACGAGATTAAACAAAACTCCGCTGCGTCCAGAAAACAGCCCGTCCTCCATCTTCTCCTCTGGTACTGGGGAGGGGCTTCCGATCGGCGCCGCTGTGAGCGGAATGTGCTCGACTGCGGAAGAATCCACCACCAGCGCCGCGCCACACCGCCTGTACATACACAACAAAACGGTACTGCTGGGTAGCTGCCTCCAAAAAAATTTCCCATAAAATTTATCATATTTCTTAACGAGATATTCTTTACGTAAGAACCACGTAAATAGCAAGCTAGTCGTAAAACTTTTCAAGCTTTCAAGCGACCGGAAAATACAAACTATAATAGCTACAACATACAAGCTAATACACCTAGACTATATTAATCGATAACAAATAAATACCAGGTGATTTTATTGTATACAGCGCTAAATTTTTTCTTACGTTTGTAACGGTTGGTTTAGGGCATACAAGGGCGTTATATTCGTTCTAGCGAACTGAACCACTGAGAATATTTTTTCGAAAACCTAAGAATGCTAAAGCGGATGAATGCTGTCCAAGCGTTCACCAAATTGCGTGTAATTGTTCTGACCAGCTTTTTATAAGCGCAGCATGACCGTGCACGTTATCGGAAGCCTAAACTACATGTTTAATTTCTAATCATGACTTCGGTTTTCGTTTTTCTTTCGTTCGCGCGGAATGTTCTAATTAAATCCGGCCTGTGATCTGGCCGCACAGTGAACCGATTCTAGCAATGTTAATCACCGCTATTTCGTGACCCTCCGTCCATTTTTGACCTATGCAGTATGCATCCGCTAGCTCCCTCGAAGCGCTAAATAAACTGAGCCATTTAAGGTGAGATACTTTAGGAGATTCGCTATAATGCCGAAGGACGACTGAGCGAGGGCTAATTAGATTTTGCAATTTGATACATTTTACCATACCGGAGTTTGTTATTTATCCACGTAAAGTATGTGTCCTTCATCCACAATCCCCAAATACGACCGGTACAGTGGATCGTCAAGCCGCACATAATTACCACACAACACGGGAATACGGCTATTGGGCCAAACGCGTGAATCGTTAACCACGCCGCAAAGCCGCTCATCCACACAGCAGGTAGTACCGCCAACACTAGCCAGACGAAAACGCGGACCAAAAGGCCCACAGCACCGCAGAGCACTTCAAAAAAAAGTGCCATATCGGATGTTAGGCGATCGAAGAATGCCTCAATGCGCTGACAGTGGCGAATATGTTCTGTCCACTGTGAGTATTTCCAGTTCTGATTGACAAACGACGAACACAGAACGGACAGAGTGAGGACAACTGTTGAGCAGATGGTAACGAAAACGGCGACGTAACCCAGGCGGCCGCGGAGCTGGACTTCCGCCGGAAGCGGCGCAGCGTCCCCATCGGTAACGGGTTCGGCGCCGGCTGGCAGCCATAAGGACACAATGCTATCCCAGTCACATCCGTGCACTGGCTATCGCAAGTCATAAGCGCCTGTTAGCTAATCTCTTTATTGAACTGCCACATTTTAAGGCTGATCGAGTAAAAACGGTCGTGCACTAGGTGCAGCGGGAACGTATTTGATTATTTGGGCTTATTTTGTTGCAGCAAATTTTTGCGATACAAATGGGCCGCGATATTTTTGCGATGCGATATTTTTAGGTTACCATTAAAATACAATCAATTACAATAATAAATTATAATAATCGAATACAATCAATTACAATAATCCAATCAATCAAATACAGTCAATCTGTTATAATCAATCTTGTTTTCGTTAACTAAATTCGCCATGTGACTGGCTTGTGCTAATAAAGAAAAAAGTTGAAAAAAAATTAAAATACCGCTTTTGCGAAAATAATCTAAAATAAGGAAACGTCCACAAAATAGTATTCCAATTGTAAGTGCATCACTGCATAGTATTCATCATGTGGTACATCAGGAAGGAACACGTGCCTATAGACTAATAAATTGCTACGTAATTTTTTCCAAGTAAATTAGTCTGAGATCTGATATCCTAAAACATAATTGAATAATTTCAAATTTTCAGTAATTCTAAATTTTCAAAAACTCACTTCTGATTTTGAATTTCTGCATTTTTTGAAAAAAATCCATAGCCATTCAAAAGACCTCTTTATTTCAGCAATTCGGTGCTTTTAAATGTTCAAAATACGTCCTAACTCCTAATTTAGCTATCATACTAATTGATTGTTTTTTTGCTGCCAATGAATTTATGTTGCACCCAGATTATTATAGTGCTATTATTTTATTGTAAATATAATTATTATGCGTACTCCTGCAGACTACCTAGAATAGATACGGAGCT